CCACCCTTTAAAAGCCTGGGGAAAATATTTGACAATTGGGTCAAATACCCAGTCCTCTCTGCACTCCTAGAGTTGAGAAATACCACTTTCCTAGCACATTTATGCATCTTTCATGACCCCTTTGACAAAGGTCAAAATTAGTACTTGAGACTCTGCAGAACCTGCAATGAAACCTGCACAAGAACTTCCTCTAAGGTTTACCAAATGTTCAGCCCATTTAGCACCTTCAGTAGCTTCTGTTGCTTATGCATATTGACTTGATGTTGAATGTTGGTTTCCTCACCCTACCCTACCTCTGTGGCACTTGATTGATTTTCCACTCAATTGTGTAGAAAAGGTGTAAGAACCTGAGAGAAACTGGAGGGCCTTGACCACAACATCATTCATGAACAGGATAAACCCCAACTTGCGATGTTTTGATAGAACTCGCTATGGAGAGCAAACAAAAGACAGAAGGACCACAAGGCTGTCTATAATATGCCCCAAGATAATTATCACTAATACTTCTTTTCCATGAAAATCTACACGCCAGTGAAAGTTGAAGGAAAAAGCAGGTCAGGTCATACAGCAAATGCCACAAGGACATTTTTTCCTTCCTGTTTCTAAGATGAGCTATCAGAGCTGCTTTGTAGATGTGTCTCCACTGGCTTTTCACAGGAAGGGAGCAGCAGAATGACCAGATTCCTAAGTCTTGTTACCTTTCTTTTTGCTTGTTCCCTGCAGCTCAACTGGAACCACTGTCCTGTACTGTTACATGGAGCTGTGTGCTCTGTAACAGGTGTTTTCAGCTAAAAGGTTTACAAACTCAATGCTTCAAAATGAATGTGTTTAGTACGTATTTTGGTATCTATCACGAAAAAGGGCTGTCACATTAAGATACAGAAGACAACCATTGCAAATAGAAAAGGATTCTTCAACAACAAAATACCAGTTTTCACATGTTTTGCTGGTCTCCAACAACATGAAAGACTGGATTAAGGATATTATACAGGTGACTAAGCTACACACCATGTTTCTATCGAGTGCTGCCCCACCAAATGCTGCTTATGATTTGCTAGTGAATCCAGTATTGTCAGAAAACCATTTTAAATTGAAATATTTTAGTAAGCTGCAACAGAAGTTGCACATTTTTAAAAGGTGATAGATATCAACAAATAGCAGACTGTTTGAAACAATATTTATGCTTAAAATATGACTACTGCACATCTCCTTTTCATACTTTCATCAATGTTTTACAATTGAGCTCCACTGAATTACTTTTCTAGTAGATAAATAGTGTACATGCTGCAGTGTGAAGAGACATCATGTAATGTATACTAATGAAGCCATTACATCTGTAGAGGAGATCATATCTGAAATATCAAATTAGCAGGAATTAAACATCTCAAAGGATTCATGAAATGTTATGGAGCCATTCACTTCCAGGTCAACAGGTTCAATTTCAGCTTAGTTTAATAGTTATAATGAATTTATGTGCTGAAGAGAACAGTTCTCTGCATCCATTCATAAACCAGGGTAAAAACTCCTGGCTCATCCCAGGACCAGCAGACTTCTACCAGCACAGCCACAACAATGTAGCAAGGAATATTCTGCTAGGCCTATATTTGGCACATAACCTTAGGCTCTGGGATATCAAACAGCACATTGACTGGATGGCTGTAATATGTGTAGGCAGCAAAGGGGGACACCAGAGACACACAGTCAGTTCTCTTTACAGATCTGCCAGCAATTGCTAACCCCAGCAATGAAGTTATCACAGACAGAACATTCAACCCTAGCTTTTATATGACTTAGTTAAAAGTCAATTCTGCTTACCCAGGTTCCTCTGTCAGCAGCACTTGCTGCTGTCAGCACAGACACCTGAAGCATAAGAAAGATCGGGCAGGGGCATGTGAAAGGAAGAATTGTAGCTAACTTTAACGCATTACCTTACAGCTGACCATAGCATCATATCATAGAATGATTTGGGTTGGAAGGGACCTTAAAGCTCATCCAGTTCCAACCGCTGCCACAAGCAGGGGCATCTTCCACTAGAGTAGGTTGTTCCAAGCCCCATCCAACCTGGCCTTGAACACTGACAGTGTTTAATGTGACAGTAAATGCACAACATAGATTTTTGTGATGGAACCACAAATTTAAGATTAAAGGGGGTTTTGAGATGAAATAACCACAATATCAACAGATTCAGGCATTGGTTCTTAGTGATGATGGTCAGTAAAGAAACAATAACCAGCTCAGGCATAAGAAAAAGAGTTAAGAAATAACTACATCAAGAACAAATAACTGTATCTTAGTCCTATATACATAAAGAGGTACATCCAACCTCTGCAAACACACAGTGAAAGGTGGCAAACTGTATACAGGTAACAATCACCCAAAGACTATCACTTCAATTTGCCCTGATGACTCTGATTTTAGACACACAGACAGGATGCAGCATGCTGTAGTGAGTTAAGGAATGATTCAGAATGCCATAGTTCTAGCCCCAGATTTTTTCACACCTCTTCCACAAAGCTTTGTTAAAATCACTCTTGCCAAGCTTCAATATCTCCAACAGAACTGTTAGAAAGTTCAGGTATGGTAGAAAAGCTTAACTATTACTTATGAGGTGCATCAAGTGATCTAGAAATGCAGGTTATTAATATCAGTTCTTACCGTTGGTGACTAAAGCATGCTCTGCAATATGGGTTGGAAACCTAAAGAAGTCGCAGTGCACTGCTGACAGGAAAGTCTTATCCTGCTACCTCTGCTACCAACTACACTTTGTGATCATCCTGCTCCCCCTTCAGAAGCTCCCAAGAGAGGGAAAAACAAGGCTTTTCAGCAGAGAGAACTGTGTTGTCAGTAAAACAGCTTACAACAGACTGTTCTATTGGAAATAGTTTTTCAGCCAGGGATATTGAGACACAAACCCCACACTGCAAAAACATAGCTGTGGCAGCCTACATAATGTATGAAAAAGAGCATCAAGCTTGCAGGATTGTTCTGCTTTAGTGACTACAAACAGAATTCAAGAACAAAGGGCATTCTAACAGCTGTTTGCTTTGCTTTCCTGGTATTTCAAGTTTAAAAAAAACAGTAAAGATGACAAACTCAAAGTTATACGGAGCAGTTTTTATTACAGGAGTGTCCTGAATGCACATCCCCTGCTCTGCAAACCTCTCAACACTCTCAATGCTGTAAACTCGTGAAGATATTTAGTGAGATTTGTATTGCATATTTAGTCTTTCAACAGGAAGCAGTATTGATGTTGGAAATGCAGTTGTGTTGTTACTGGTCTATCCTGCCTATTTTCACTTCAGCCACTATCCTCCCCCTTGTATGACAATGTGTCTTTCAAGTATTAAATTTAGATCTGTTTTTCCTGTGACATACTAAGTTACACAACTGCAATGAAAAGTTTCTATGGATCATCAGGAGTTTGCAACTAGAGTATTTTCCTAAGGGATGTATTTTGAAATGATAATTATTATGATTAGCAAGCTATTAATATATTATGGTTTATATATATTAACATATTAAATATATTATTATACACACACAGCTTAAATTATTATTATTATATCCTTTAATTTTAAAGTGTCATTTTTCCTATGACTTCCCAAATCTTTGGAAAGCAATGTTTTTCTGTTTAAGAAAGAAAACAGATATAAACAGATGTAATGGTTAAGTATTCACTAAGAATTTAAGGGAAAAGTGCCCTCGAGAGGCAGATGAGCATAAGGCATTTTCTGCATTGGATGTAAGATGCAGAAAGAAGAAACCCCTCCTAAAACATCTGAGAAAAAGATGAGGGACAATGCAAGATGTAAAGTAAAACCTGAAATTTTCAACATCTCATATTGCACTTTGAAACTATGGTGGTTTAGTGTAGAGGTCTAACTCTTGTGTTTGGGTGTGTGTTGTATGTACATATGTCTGTATATGTATGTAAGGTTTGTAAGGAAAGAGATATGTTTTATTAGACCAGTATAGCTGAAAGAAGCCATTTGTTGGTTATAGCTGGAAGAAGTACACAAGCCTTTTGTTGGTCTACTATAAGCTAATTCTCCCTTTAAACCTTTTCTCTCACATCACCACGATCAGGGTTATGAGACTATTTACACACAAATTAAGAACATCTCCCTTGGTGGACTTAAAAAAATGCACCTCCAGCGTTCCACTGCAATACTTCAGTCACTTAAAACAGTAGAAAGAGGAAATTTGTCTAGTTTCATACTTCAACACTTCAGAAGCTCTATGTTGTCCTGAGTCCTAACAGACACAAGGATCGTGTTGCAAGTTGATGAGGAGCCTGGGATAACACAACAAGCTTTGACACTGAAAGGAAGGAGAGAGAGGCAGCACCATTGGGGTCTTAGCATTGCTGTATAAACTATAAGGTCCACAGGGAAATCTAACTGGTGTATTTTTCTGTTTACCTTTAGGTGACAATGTCCAAATGCTTCAACACATCACTGAACGGCTGTTACAAAACCTCCTGTCACTAGAAATAAAAATGGATGGATGAATAATGGTCAGGCTGGAGCTTCTGCATCTTGCCAGAAGTAGTGAGCAGAGATTTAAAACCAGCTTGTAAGCAATATGCAGCCAGTCTAGAGCTATGTAATCAGACCTAAAATCATCAACATTACACATACATCAACTTACCTCTGCATAGGGAGTTGCTGGTATTTCTCAAAGGACCCTGGTTCATCGACTAAAGTCAGGAAAAGATTTACTTGTTTCACAATCTTTTTTTCCCCAACTGTATTCAGTGGCACCACTGAATAGGTTGGGTTTTTCCTTTCCCAAAGCTTTCATTCTGATTTAATTGAAGAAATAAGATAAAGTCTGCCCCCTATATATATATAAATATATATATAAATGAGTATTTCAAAATACAATACATTGTAAAATGTCCACTTAATGTAAAATCCTACCATAGACGAAACAGATTTTTGTTTTAATATGGGTAACAAAACCCTTAATAGGAAATACCTCTTAACAGAAAAAGGAACGGGATTTCCATTTTTATTTCCATTCATTGCCACCTTTTTCTACATCTTCCTGTAAGATCACCACTTCAATATTTTCAATGGCAAAGCAAGGATAACTCAAACATGTGCAAATGAAGAATACCATGCTGTATTGGTTAGCCTATCACAAAAGGCAGAGCTTAACCTATACTGTGCATATTTGTCTCCACAGTATAAAATGCGTGGCTTCAGGGGGCTGGGGACAGGAGGGATGCTCAGCACTGGATGCCAGTTTCCTGAAGAGAAGTCACTTTTTAGGATAAGGTACAGCTGCAAAAGCTGGGTAGTCAAGGAGTCTTGCTGTATCCGTCTACTACATAATATATTTCCACATCAGCAATCACTTCTATCCAAATGTAGATCAAATGTCATGGCAGTAAAACTAAACTCTGATGAGGGACCCTGATCATTTTAAAAAGGCAAAAGCCATTCTTGCAAAGCATTTAGAGACTGTAGTGATAAGACAAGGGGTGATGGGTTCACACTTAAACAGAGGAAGTTCAGGTTACATATAAGGAATTTCTTTACTGTGAGGGTGGTGAGGCACTGGAACAGGTTGCCCAGAGAAGGGGTGAATGCTCCATCCCTGGGCAGTCTTAAAAGGCCAGATTGGACAGAGCCTTGGGTGACATGGACTAGGGTGAGGCATTCCTGCCCATGGCAGGAGGTTGGAACTAGATGATCTTAAGGTCCTTTCCGATCTGAACCATTCTATGATTCTATGATTCCAGTGCTACAAACTATGGTTCTTACACTGTGTTTCTTTCAGAAGAAAGACTTCCTTGAAAATCATTGAACTACTTTTTTTTAAATTGAACTTTGTTCAACCCTTTCAGGTTGCTTTGAAGAAAAATGTTGAATCAATCCATATTCTAAAATGCCTTAGAAAGAAGAAAAATCCCAGCAGTAAATCCACCTAATTAAGCGGGGGTGTATCTCACCCATAGGCTATTACCACATCTCAGCTTAATATTCTTAAAGATACCAGATGTGGAGCAGGCAGTGAGCTCTCCTCATTATTTCTCAAATGAAGCTGAAGAGATGTAACCCAAATTACAGCAAGATAAACCAGACAACTTAAGTGATGAAAACTGCACGTTTTCCTCTGCTTTAGGGACGCTTCTGGCTCATCTGTCCTCTGATCAAGGTGAGCCTGATAAAACTGAAAATTACACTGTGTGACTGGATTGTATGAGATTATCTTTCCCCTGAGAAGTGATTTATTTTAGTAACTCTTGATGATTAAGAAGCTTTCTGCTCCAATACGCCGCTCTTCTTGTGTGGGCACGGTTCCTTATTGCTTTGAGTGAGAGATCACTTTTAAAAAACATAGAATATGAGTGGCTACATCTTCTTTACGGCGCAAAGACAAAATTGTGTTAGAAGAGAGACCTTCAGGGACCACAAGTATACAAAAAATTGGAAGTTGTTCTCATTAGTTTGTAGGTTTAACTGCAAAAGTTACTGGGCTATCTTCCACATTTTGAGGGTGAGGAAAATCCAGTTTGGGTTTTGGGTGATCTCGCTGTGTAGAATTAGGGGCTTCTTGATTCTTAGAGGATTCCAGAAGATGTTGCATGTTAAGTTTGAAAATGAGGCGAGGATCTGGTCCGGAAAGAGATGGGCAATTGCAGCTCTCTCTTATTTTAAGAGCCTGTGAACACATAGGAAAACAAATCAAGCTCATTTAAGTAAGAAAAACAAAAAGGTTTCAGTCAGCACTTTGGTTTTCTATAAGGTCTGCATTTGCACACAGAGCTTAGTGAGTACAATACTGAGCCTGAGTTGTTACCAAACAACTTGTCAACAGAAACCAAGAATTCCTGAGAAGAAATGTAGCAATACAGTAAAACAATGGGAAAAAATGAAGAATGATAATCATTCTCACAGTCTCCCAAAGAATGGATACTCCAAAGGTACAGCATAAATAGATAGGAAGCTCTCCAGCTACTTTATGCGATACTTGTGCACGTATCTTTTACCTTTAAATTTACATTCATATGTAAACTAATATAACTGCACCAAGAAAAAAAAAAAGAGCTCTGAATAATTTATTTTACACTAGATAGGTTCTATAACGAAAGTGACTACATATAGATGCCCAACTCAGAAAAGGAGGGAAAACCCTCCAATAACATAATGGACACTGAACTGTTTGGCCCAGAGATCCAGCTGGGTTGATCAGTACAGTTAAGGACCAGTTACAGAAGTGATCTCATCTCCAAGAAGCATTTGAATACGCAGCTTCTAAGTACTGGAGAAAACAATGCCTCTAAAATGTAAAAATTCATCTGGATAAAAAGAGACCAAACTTTTTGTGACTCCTGCTCACTGAGTAGGTGCCATTGCTTCCATTCTACACATTAGAAAGCAGACGCACAAAGGAACCGAAGAATTTTCCAGAGAATCAAAATCCATTAGTGTGAGCACACTCCCCCCAGGTCATCCTGCCTTGTGGGCAATCTGAGCAAGGAATGACAATGGATGAATCTCATGTCTCAGAGGCACCATGAAGAAATTGATATGAAACTGTATGAAGTCAGCTGCTTTAAAGGATCCTTACGTTGTTTCATTTTAACAGTGCTGAAGATACCTTGATTAGTCCATACAAACAGGCAGCTCATTTTAGAGCCAACAATGAATACCACACAACTAAATCTGATGCAATACTTTGCAAAGAGTTGGACACAGACCTACTACATGGATTCTCCTACAAGACCCATTTAAACTGATCAAGATAAGTAAGATCCCATGTTTCATATAACAAACTATTATATGCAGAATTTGAGAGGGTTCTATGGCTCCACTGAGAACTACTTTTTCAAGACTTGCAAAATGAAACAGCAAGAAAACAAGTTAAAACCTAGCCTGATATTTAACATTCATCAATAGCCACTGTGGTGTAGTCACTTTTATGCAGTATTGTCAGTATCTTGGCCTCAAGTAACAGTGCAAAACTCTAGGCAGATTAACATCCAGCTTTATTTTCAACCCTTCCATGGGAAAATAAGTTCAAATGTGTGTTTTATTCCACTTCATAACCATGGATTCTTTATATACACTAGATTTGCCTGAAATATCAAATCAAGTACACCAGTACCCCTGTGCACAAGAATTTGTTCATCAGTTCGAAACGATTTGGTATTCTTCCACAGGCAACACTGGAAACATCTTACTGCAGCAGATTACAAAACAGAAGAGCAGAGCTTCTTAACTCATTTCTTTGCATAAGGGGTTATGAAAACATATTTCTCCCTATCCTTATTACAGCAAGCTCATAAAGAGTTTGCTGTAAATGGCTAGAAACACATAGCATTTATATTTAACAACTGGCTTTGGAAAAAAGATGTGTTTCAGGAATGTAGAACAAGAGTTTCTCCAGCTATTTCTTGTTGAAATGTAACATTCAAATTACTGGATACAGAAGTGTGACTTAGGCATGCAAATATTCCTCTTGTCTAACTTTTAAAAGACATGAATAAAGCTTTCAGTGTTGGTTTTTCTACAGCATGATTGTCCATGTAGTCACTAAATGTAACTGTACCACTGAACACTCTTCTGCTTCAGTGACCAATTAATTTCTAAACTGACATTTTTGACAAACCAAGAGTTTTTCTCTTGTTCTCTTCTAGAACATAAGCTGCTGCTAGACTGCATTAATGTCAAACAGCATTATTCAAGGCAAATGGAAATATAAAGATTTACGCTGTATACTGGAAAGGGTAACACAATCCTCTTTTAAACTAATTTAGTGATTTTATATCTCTGGTTTTCATGGCTAGATAGTACTTGGCCTATTTCCATGAGTGAAACCATCTAAAATGCTAAACTCACAACAGCAAAGGTAAAATCCACACTTCCAGAGTTAGTATTTTTACCTTGTGGATGCCTTTGTGTTCTTGCTAGACATAAAACTGTGCAAGGGGGGTAAGATGGCATCTATTCAACGCCATCAACTCACATGCCATTAGACTACAGCTATAAGAATGGGGAGCTCTGTTGACACGTTAAAGACAGCTATGACTACACACTCCAGTGAAAGCGGCCTTTGTGACTGCCATGCAGCATTCAGCCCTAGTTGTGTTCTTCCCCTGGCTCAGCTGACTGACTGCTGCTATATTGTTTTGTGCCAGCAGCTCTGTAACATCCTTAGGAGACCAGTAACAAGCTGAGGAGTTAACAACATCATTTTTCCTGAAAGATAAAGCAGCTCAACATGGTCAAGCACATTGGATCTAATCTAATATTGATTAAGTCAATTGGGTTTTGACAATTTGGGTAAGAGGACAAGTAAAAGCATTCTAAATGAAGCACATGCATATGGATGTTATATTGATATTATAATCAGAATATGTTCCATTGACTGTTATTACTGAAGAGTGCTCTTGATAAAGACAGAACTGAGCCAAGGTTAACTAGCTAGAGAGAGTACATAGATTCAGCTGGGAACAGAGAGTACTTCGATGCTGGTCATTTCAAGTTAACCTTAAGAGAGAAGTACTGCTATTCAGAATAAAGACCACCTGCATGCTTACTAGTTCAGAAGGTCTCAAATAAAATATCAAACTATTGCCTGTAAGTAACAAAGGTGAAGCTGTTTTTCTTACCAATACAACTGCAGTCACCTCCTGCAGTGTGCTGGGGAAGGGGAAAGCATAATAATTCGGGAGCTGCACCTTGTGCTATTTCTTTCATATAAAGCCTTTCAGCAGAGGCAAATACAGGGCCATGTAATTTTTAGCTGCCAGTATTAATCCTTCATCAGTGTCACAGGTACCAGGCTAACTGCTGCATCTTGACACCTTAGTCTTCTGGAGTTCATCCCACCTCTCAGGCCATCAGCACTCTCAGTATAAAAGTCACATCATTCTCTTGTCCACAAACCAAGCCAAGGGTTATAGTCTCTTGTGTATTAACTATGATTACCTCAACAAGGCTGACTTCAGCTCTGACCTTGCAATTATGACAGAAACTAAGAAATAGCACAAGCATCTAGGCTAAAAAAGGGAAAAATTAACAAATAAGAAATGCTGAGTTGCAAACTGTACTACAATTAGCAGGCACAGGGAAGACAACAAGTTCTACAAATGCAGCAGTAGTAAAAAGAGGATTAAAAGGATGGATAGATTTGTTAGGTGTTGGAGAAAAACAACATATATATTGCTAGTTCTTCAAATCTTTGCTTCTGTTGGCACAGAAAAATTGTGACAAAATATTCACAACTTTATAGAGAGGTCAGTATTTTTTTAATTCTAGTTTTCCTTTAAGTTTTCACACTGATAGGGATTAATTAGTAGATTCTGGTACAAGAACTATTTGAAGTAATCTTCACATCACAAGTGAAGGCCAAATACACCAACCCATTTTTAAAAGGAAGTGAAATAAATGTATCTTCAATATCCCAAAAGCAACAGACTGAGGAATAAGCAATAACTACCCCCACAGTAATACAACTAATAAACAGCCAATGTGGGTTTGACAGGAACAGGTTTTGCCAAAGCAAATTCATTCACTTTTTGACAAGTTAATTGAGCAAGCAAACAAAGGAGGAGAAGCAGCAGAGCTGGCATGTCCCAACTTAGTATTGCTCTCAAAATCATCTCAGCATGGCATTTCCACAAGAAAGAGTGGGAAACAGGAGTTACAGTGAATGAAGAATGGAATCTGAGCCAACAACATGATGCCAAGAAAGCAAATGTCACATCAAGATGAATTTCTGTGTCACAGGCAAGGCTCAGTACATAACCTTCTGCTTTAGTCAGTATAGCTGAGGCTTCAGCTCATGCACACTGCTCCACTTGCAGAGCATAGTAGGAAAAAGGTAGACAAACAGTAGCCAGAGAACATTAAAAGAAAAGGCTCAGAGATTGAAGATAAATTCTCACTTTCTATGACAGCATTTTACTGTGGAACTTTCTTAGAAGTCTGTAGAGAAACGTCTATGTGGTCTGACAAATTCAAAACTTTGTCCCTATTTCCCCCAGCTCCAATAGCTTGTCTAATAATAGATATTGTATTGTCCTGAAAACCATTTCAGTTTCAAATCTTCAGCATATGAAACACAACAGTACTCATCATGGATCTGATACTGATTCATAAGTACAGTTTCTCCAAAGAGAGATACTACAGAGATAAAAAGGCCATTTTCAAAACCTGGCTTCTCCCCCCCCAGGTTCTGAATATCTAATGGCCATTAAATATATATGGTAAAAATAGTGTTCAAAAAAACCCTTTGTGCGAATAATGAAACAAAAAGGTGGGATATTGAACAACAATAACAACAAAGCCCTGGGATTCCCTTTAAATGCCTGAGATCCAGCTTCAAGAAGGCAGCTTTCTGATGGAGTCTACACTTCAAACAAGAAGCCTCCAATGACATCTCTACATACTTTATTTAATTTCTATTCTACTTTTGCAATATCAACCTCACTTACCTAGTGAACTTCTTTTAAAAACAGGAAGCCTTGTCACCTGCTTTCTCATCCTACTCCAAAAAGAATCATTTAAGGTAAAAGGCAAATGAAAATGTCTCATATTGACTTTTGGAAGATAATTTCCTAGCCTCCACTGCTTTTGGAATAGAGAATGGCTATAGAAAGATGAAGACTGCTGCACCTGCTAAACTACAGGAGATAACAGCAAAATAACATGACTGCCAGTTCTACACAGTGGCTCAATTATTTAACTTACCTGCTTAGTCCTGGGGTAGAACATAAGAAGTGATCTGTTTCATTCCTGTTTTATAAGCCAATCAATAACTGTATGAAACTAAAGGATCCCCAAACCTTTATGTTCGATCTAGCTAAACTTAGGACCCCACAAGCAGCATAATTTTTCATTCAGCTGTTCCAATGTGTTAAAAAATCCATCAAAATAGTCTCACAATCAGTATAGAATTTGTGTATACTTAAAATATTCAGTCAGGCCAGTCTCCAACCTCCTAGCCCTAATGTTAGTTTCGATATATGCCATCATTTAGAGTATTTACTGCATTCACTCTCATCAAAGAATTCATGAGAATCCTTTTTTCTCCTTCGAAATCAGCAAACACCTCAACATTCCAGGCCTCCCTCTGCCAATAAACCTTCAACTGTCTTCACAGTTTGGAACTGAGAAAGGATTAAAGTGACTGAGAGTTTAAAATAAAAAACAAAAAAAGAGGAGAAAGAACTAAAAATTACCAGTTGGTTTTAAGAAAGGGAATTTCCAAACACAGTTTAGCTTGCTGAAAAACAGTGCTCTTGTGAAGTGCTTTAAACACTATGTCTTTAAGAGAAAAAATGAGGCAAAAAAGCAACCCATGTTCTTTCTCTGTAGTTAAAACCTCCACTATTTAAAGAAATATTAACAAACTAGGATTACTAAACTTGGTTCTCTGTCCTTAAGCTACCAGTGAGTAGCACATCAAATGAAGAGAACCCCCAAGTAGCTATCCACTTGGCATTCCTCTGAGAGGAAAGAACAAAGACTGCAGATTGAAGGGCAATTGTGTGAATTAGCTCAAGTTCCTTGGAGTGGGGTAACATTTGCTCTTAATTTGACAGAACAGAGATGTGAAGTAAAAAGCAGGCTGCAAAATCCCCAGAGTCCTATCATAACTATTAGGGCTATTAGGGAATCTACTGGGGATCTGATGTTCTTTTGAGGCACATTATTTGAGGCATATTCAATCCCATGTCAGTGAGAGAGACAGGATAGGAAGGAGCATTCTCTATTTGGCAGCCCAGGGCTAGCTACTCAAAGCAAGAGGAGCCGAGACAGTTTAGGGATCCATCTTAAAAACTGTCTTTCAAAATGGCAAAAAAAGAGATGGATAAGATCAGTGATATGGACACATCTACACCAGGAAGGCCATTCAAAAGCAAAAATACACTTTGATCAGAAATCAGGAAAGTAAAGAAATCCTAGAATATGACTGCATTTTATCTGTGCTATCTTAATTTTTTCTCAATTAATAAAACCTTTAACATTGAGAGCTATGTAACAGAAAACTTCTCTAAGGATAAAGATAAGACTGATGCTACAGGAGTAGACTGTGAATTGATATCTGAGTAGCTCATGAATCAATACCAAAATAATCCTAGCAACCTTCCTAAGAGAGAAAGACAAATTTCCTTCAACTCTGCTCACCTCTGGGATAAGTCGGTCTAAGTGCTCTGCTCTGTTCTCATGAGAAGGGTGTGTGGAGAGCCACTCTGGTAGCTTGGGCTGCCCTTGAATGGTTTCTGCTAATTCCATTTGTTGCCAAAATACGCTGCTTGCTCTTACATCCACACAAGCCTGAAAACGGAAAGGAAACTTATAAACCACTGTATTTTTTTAAATAATATGATAGACATTCTAATGGATATTGAATTACAACAGACTTCTTAAATTTTAAATCTCTAAAGTCTGTTCAGATGGTCCCCCTCGTACCTGACAGGAAAACACTGCTCTAAAATATCTGATACAGGGTGAAGGATCTGGAGAATAAGTCTAATGAGGAATGGCTGAGGGAACTGGGGGTGTTTAGCCTGGAGAAGAGAAGGCTCAGGGGGGACCATATCGCTAGATACAACTGCCTGAAAGGAGGTTGCAGTGAGGTGGGGGTCGGTCTCTTCTCCCAAGTAACAAGTGGCAGGACAAGAAGTAACAGCCTCAAGCTGCACCAGGGCAGGTTTAGACTGGATATTAGGAGAAGTTTCCTCACTGAGAACGTTCCCAGGCATTGGAACAGGCTGCCCAGGGTAGTGGTGGAGTTACCGTCCCTGCAAGTGTTCACAGACTATGTAGATGAGGCCTTCAGTGACCTGGGTTAGTGGTGGCCTTGGCAGTGCTGGCATAAAGGTTGGACTTGGTGATCTTAAAGGTCTTTTCCAACCTCGTTGATTCTATGATTCTAAATGCAGTGAAAGACTCATCCAGATAAAACACTGGATTTGTTGCTCTTAACATCTATGTAATACCACCAACCTCATAAACCTTACACCTGAATTACAAAATTCAGGAGAAAAACAGCTTCACAATTTCTGGCATGTACCTGTTCTTTAAAAGAAACCAAACTCAGCTGCATATTCTAATTTACATTTGTTAGACACAGTGCAGCAAAAGAACAAATTAATCATCTCCACAGATTTAGGCAAACTTACAGGAAGAAATTTGGAGCCAAAAATAGAAAGTGATAATAATTCATACTTAAGTATCTCTAAAAATGAGGTGTAAAGGCTTCTTTGTAAATTGATCACACTGCCTTTTTCAAGGCTGATCTGTGTAATCCACACAGATTAAAACAGTAATTCTGCAGTATTCCTATCTCTCTTCACAGAAGTATGTATTTAACCACAGACAGTCATGGAACACTAACTTTAAGAATGGTATTTGTATATCACCAACAGGCCCCTTTATATTTGCATTTAAATGGAGAGGGGGGAAAGAACAAGATTACCTACATTAATTTTAATTTGTTTAAGAGAAAAGAGATGAGCATTCAGAAGGTACGAAAATGAATTTTCTTCCCCTTCCGCCCTGCCCCGAAATCCAGAAGTGCTTTATCCTTTGAATGTATTTCTTGATTTCTTGAAATTATTATTATAGAAAGATTACCTCCACCAGCAGAGTAATGCTGAGATACCACTTTGCTTGGTTCTTCCTAGTATGGCCCCAGATCTTCAGCATTACAAAGCGGTGAACATCAATACAGCAGTTACTGTTTTTTCTCCCACAGACTGCACTATTCCCTTAGATGAATTTAAACTACAAATACAGTTTCAACCTAGAGTCAAGGTTAATTTGAAAAACTCTTCCTTGAAGAAATACTAATAATTATTAAGAAAATGAAGTTTTCTGTATGAAATATTAACACCAGATGGTGCTACTCTCACAGTTATCCAACACTTACCTACCTCTAATGAACTCAGCTATGAAAGAGCTGGTTTAGTGTCTGGAACTCAGAATTAAAACACAGAGGCACAAAAAAAAGTGACTGAGAAAGACTAATTGGAAAAAAAATGCTGAGCAGTTTCTGACCAAATTTGTGTCTGTCTTCAGCAAAGTCACATTATTTGTATGGATGCATTTTGACTAAATATTTAAATCCTAGAACAATGTTGATATACTTTGTAATTATCAGAAATCACAGAAAATGTAATCACAATATCAAAAAGTTCTTCAGTTTTACTGTATTGTTATGAGAACATATTATAAATCAGGTGCACTAAGATATACGGAAGAAGCTCTTCCCTGTGAGGGTGCTGAGGCGCTGGCACAGGGTGCCCAGAGAAGATGTGGCTGCCCCATCCCTGGCAGTGTTCAAGGCCAGCTTGGACACAGGGGCTTGGAGCAAGCTGCTCTACTGGAAGGTGTCCCTGCCTGTGCTAGGGGGCTGGAACTGGGTGAGCTTTAAGGTCCCTTCTAACCCAAACCAGTCTGGGATTCTATGGTTAGGAGTACCTTATACCTTTCCAAACTATTAAATCCTTCTTAGGGAAGCTCACTGTTTGGCATTCTCCTCTTTATAAATATGTACCTTTTTTTTCCAGTAATAATAAACTGCATAGAAAGTATACTGTGCAGTTAACAATGCACAGCTTTACAAACTTCAGTCTTATTACATACAATTTAGCCAGAATGACTTTGTCTTTCCCTATAACTTGTTTTATTTCCCACTACTTCATTAATAGACAGATCTGCAAAAAGTTGGGAATCCTCCCACACACTTTACCTCTGTATGAAGTATGAAACTCCCCATATTGCAATAGAAACTGAAAAATGGCAGGTAAATTGCTACTAAAATAAACCAGTAGTAGTCACCTTTGCTGCAAACTGAAGTCCCACTTTATCAGCTTCAGCCTCCAGTGTTCTGCTGTATGGTCTATCAAACATAAACTGCAAAGAAGCACATCAAAGCACTTATTTCTTGGGTTTGAATGTGTACAAAGCTAGAACACTGTAGCTATTCTTCTGATCTCATAAGAAATGGTGTTTATCATGTTCCCATTGCATGTGATCAGTATTAATTTACTTCATGTAACCTTTAAGTCCATTACATGTAATTCATTGATCCTGTATTCAAATAACCCGTATTTTTATAGCCCCTCTCATCAGGCAGCCTCACAGATCTTTTGCAGCATCTGAAGGGGCAATGCCATCTTTAAAATTAGAATTGTTTCACTTCACTCTTTTATGAAGATTTTTGTTGCAGCAATTGTATGTAGAAAAATAAAGTGGTTCCCTTAAACTTTTATGATGACTGCTTTTAAACCTGGTGTGATCTATTTGGTATGGTAAACAGGCTACAGTATGGAATACGGCCATAAACATTTTCATGCAGCAATCACTCCCCTGTCATGATTATCCACCAACACAAGTTGCAAATTGCTCTTGAGAAATGAAACTAGAAGACATAAATCTGACTAACTCTTCTCCCATTTTTCTATGGTGACATTGTATTAACACACACTAAGAGAGAGTGATAGTCTTCTCAAATGGTTATGTAGTCTTATAATACCAGGATATTCTGGCATATGTAATTCATGTAAATTGGGGCAGGCCTGCCCTGGTGTATCAGGTTATAGTAAATGCAAAGCAGGAAGTGTTAAAACAGCCCACTCATGCAGAGATAAGGAACATGCCCCAACATTCTGGTTTAGGCATTGATTAGGAAATATCAACTCAAGAATGGGCATGCGCAAGACTAGTGAAGAGGAAAAAGTTTTATCAGCTCTTTATCTGATAGCATTTATGGGGTAGCATCCATTTCCAAAAAGATTTGCAGAAGTTTAAAACCTAGGAAATTGATGTCTGAATGCATGTGGTCTTAATAGACCATTTAGATAGAGAGATCTGGGACAGCAAGAAGAGGGTAATAAAAGGATCAGCATTTAAACTCTTACCCCTTTGATTTATTTGTATTTACAGTTAAACAATAGGGTATTACTATTTACCTTTATGTCTATCCCAATAGAAATAACATGGGAGTCTTTCTAAAATTAAACACAACACTAATGCACTCTTTAATTCATGACCTGCCATGCTGCAGACTACAGAAGCAAGGATATCATCTGCAGAAACTATCACCCTATAATTGCTGATACTCCCCTTGGTTTTTGCCTATGTATCTGCTACTGGCTAGTCACAAACAAGACACAAGCGTAAAGACACTGTAATGAGATTCCCTACAGTAATTCTAATGCAAGATACTGCTTATGACCATGCAGGGCTCCTAATCTAAAATCCTGGACATAATAAAGAAGTAGATTTGATTTTTAAAACCAGTTACTTGAGCTATCTGTACATGTTGAAGAAAAGGAAGTTCCTTTCCTATAAGGTAAGTTGACTATCCAAAATCACCAATTTCCACATGAAGTACCTATCTGATAGTGTGTGGTGCACAATAAAGGGAGTATGAAGTACTGGATCTGTACATATTAGTGTGCAGGATTTGAGTAAAACTCAGAGACATGCGTTGTGCTATTCCAAGAATAATTACTACGCTTTAGTTTCTATATAAAATAACCATTGCTGTAAAAACAAAACCAACACTTTTCAGTTCAGAACTGCATGACTAAAGAACAACCATGAATGAATTCTGTAAGAGAACTTAATTTTTTAAGGCAAGCAAACCCACTAGGTATGGAGAAAAATCAGAACTGGAGCTCCATGCCAAAAGCCTTACGAAGAGTTACTGGAAATTACTTATAGTAATATATATGAATACTTATAATAAAAAATAAACCATGAGCCTTTGAGGAAATAACAGAAAAACAAGTACCGAAACAGAAGCAAGTGGTGCCACGTGGCTTAAATAACCTTTCCATAGGGTCACATGCTAAAATTTTTAAAAGTCAAATATGGAAGAAGAGGTCAAAAACCACGCTGAGAAAATGTGCAGAAAGATTCGTTTTCACACAAGCACAATAGGAATTGAGTCCAGGAAACAGACATTGCCTTCCTGGGTGACTAACAGAAAGAAAATATTCTATTCAGCATCTTTTGTATAGGGGATGCAAATATTAATCCCTTATTCTGCATTACATATGGATATGTTTAATGTTACTGAAGATGAGTTTGATCAGAGGACAATCCAGGACATTAGAGTACAATCTCTCATATACGACAGATCTTTCCCATAGCACACTAGGAAAATGAATTGAAACCCAGACTCCATATGCAATCTGAAGCACAACTCCAGTCCACAATGCCAAAATAGCATTTGCAGTTAGCCTAGAAGAGGAGAAAAGATGCTGACAGGGAGTTAAATCTTGCTGTCTAAATTATGAGCAGTCTCAGGATTGATTCACACTTTTTTTCCAAATTCAGCTCTTCAAAATGCTGGCTAGAATTCATCAATGTATTGGTTTCTTAGCTACTTGTACAAATATCCAAGCTCTTTAGAGATAATTTATGTTCAAAATCCACACATCCACCCATTAGCATAAGAACTACCAAAACAGATTGGTTATGTTTCAGTTCATGCTTATGAGGAACTGGGGGAAATCTCAGGAGAAGCATCAAGAGAAGTCAAAGAAACCAAAGAGCTCTTTCACTTAAATTCAGATTTGGTCTATGATGTAAGCAGAATTTCTTTTAAACAAAAAGAAAACCCACTTTTTAAAAAAGAAATGGATCAGTAACTGTCTGAAGGCAGAGAGTAAATTAGACTGAAGAAAACTGGCACCACAAAGCTTCTAAATTTTACTTTATTGGAATATGTGCTGTCTGAAAAGATTATTTCAGTACATTCTATTATAGCATGCTTTATACTTTAAAGGAATGTTTAGATTCTCAATTTTCTGATCTTGGAAACCATTCTTACCATTAACAATATTCTTAAAGGATTCCATATATTTTATTCTGCTTAGAAATAATTTAACAGCTCCTCAAAATAAAACCATAGTATTTCAATATATACAGCTTTAAAGGGGGAACTACATGTCAGAAAGACAATGAGCAAGCAGGTGCAGAGCCTGTGCAGCTCAATCTAGTCCAATTAGGGAGACCTGAGGTTCATCAGCATAACAAATAAAAATATGTATCAACTAAAGCAGATGCAGATTTAGAAACACATATTTCATTTTAAACATACTCAAATATTAATTTTTGCTAATATTTCTTCTCTTGCCTTTTCCCCCAAATATATTATTTAGTAGGACTATCTCCCCAAGATTAAAAATGTTTTTACATGGAACTCCAAAAGGATATTGTGAAGTGTCAGTCTTACCTCCTGCAACTTGCTCTGAAGCCACTGGCCAACAACTGCCAAACTATCTCGAGGACAGATGGCCCAAATCATAGTGAGAAAGATGAGTGATAGAAAATCCAAAAAGTGAACCAGGCTGGCTTTCTCTGCCTGCAAACAGAAATTGTCCCGTTTTCATTCCTGTCTGACATGTCTGTAGAACATAACAGGATTTGGAAACGTTTTAAGAAAGGGGGGTGGGGGAGTTTATGCAGGAACAGGGCAAGCATAAGGTCCCCTGCTCACACACAAAAAAAGTCCTAATGGTTGGACACAAGGCATTTCCAGTCAAGAATCCCCACCACCTGCATAAATACAGCTGGAACAAACACAGTTTGAGAGATTCAAAGCTTGAGATAAGATGATGGCAACATGCAGACAGAGTTCTTTAGTACAAAGGCCATAAAACACCTCAGCTGGAATGAAAAATCTATAGGAAGACCTAGAAGACTGTTTTTTACATTAATTTAAGGCATCATTTAGAGAGGAACATTAATGGGATAAGGTGACAAGAGGCAATATATATTTATTGTCTATTTTCTGCTACATTACTTTAATCTCAGAAACTGAGATCCCAAAGAAAGAAATTAAAATTCTTTTGGATGCAGAGTTTTATTCGAAATGCAGCAAATTGAGCTGAGCACTCACAAGCTGAATGGAGCAATACTTTTCTCTCTGCCTGTTGGGTAACACAGGTTCCACACAAACAAAATTAAGTTCTTTTTATTATTAGAAAACTATTTTTTCTAATTTTCAGAAGTTTAGCAAGTTACTTGCCCCAGCTGAGCCCAAGAAGCTATGATGTGGACTGTTGGTCATTCAGAATCATACAAGATGAAGTAACTCAATTCTCCTGTATTTCCACTGCCTTTAAAATTTACTTTTTAACTTACCCATTTCCAGATTATTTTTGCAATTTTAGGAGGATCTTTATGTTTAAAGATTATGTTGCCTCAAACTGACAGATAGGTAATGTATTACATGCATACACAGGAAGAAATCAATCTGGAGGGAAAGAAGCACCTTCTGGCAAATCCCCTCAATCTAGAACAGTATGATCCATATTTCTATACCATCTTCTTTTTTCATATCTGTACCTTGTCGTGGTTTAAGCCCTGTCGGCAACCCAGCCACACAGTTTCTCTCTCAACACTCCCCCCCCCCCCAGGCCCCCCCCTTTTTCCCCTTCTTGCCCTCCCCCTGCTCCCAGAGGGATGGGGAAGAGAATCAAAAGAATGCAACTCCCATGGGTTGAGAGAAGAAAAGTTTAGTAACTAAGGTATAACACAAATCACTACTGCTACCACCAATAATAATAATGGTAAGGGAAATAACAAGGGAAGAGAATACAACACCTCACCACCCGCCAACCGATAACTCACCCGACCGAGCACCGACCAATACCTACTCCAACCCTGAAGAGAACTAGCCTTTCCAGGTAACTCTCCTCTCAGTTACATCCTGGGCATGACGTGCTGGGCTATGGAATACCTCTTTAGCTACTTTGGGTCAGGTGTCCTGTATCTGCTTCCTCCCAGCTTCCCCTCCTCCCTGGCAGACCATGAGACTCACAAAGTCCGTGGTCAGGCTAAACATTTGAGCAGTAACTAAAAACATCGGTGTTATCAGCACTGTTCCCAGGCTGAAAGTCAAAACCACAGCACTGCACCAGCTATTAAGGAGAAAAAAATCAGTGCTACTGCTGAACCCAGGACATACCTACACAGCCCAACAAAATTATTACTTTCATTGTAATTCAAATGGCAAAGAACAACCAAATTCAACACATCCAGGTCAGGATACAGAAAAATTCAGTCTGTGAAAACCATTCTCTGTAAATGCAGACTCAAGCTCCAGGCATTCTAGAACTTGGCGTTCTAAGACTGGGTACTACTATAATAAAAATATCACGCATGTTAGAATAATTTATTAAAGTATATCCACTTCTGTAGATATTAACAAGTGTGGGAGTAACAAACCAAGCTGCTGAGTGCCTCTAGATCCTTACGTCTGTGCTACAGGAAGAGAGGCATCTGCAGACCAAGTCCTGAAGGACTGTTAATAGCAAGCCATAATCCATCTGTACAGCTATGAAAGAGACACTGGCAGACTTTGTGCTAACAATAACTGCTACAGCACTTCCAACAGTTATTAAGTACTACATGAGTAACAAGCATATACTGTAGCAGAATACTTTCATGTCAAACTCCATTTTTCATCAGTTTGAAAGAGTCACACTGAAGCTATGGTTGATAGTGATAGGAAAAATCTGGATTAAAGTATTTAGAATGAATATGAGAATTTTAGACAGCTTTCTTTAAATACTTACTGCATGCTCCAGCACAGCGTGAGCTATTTCATGTCCCAGAATGAAGGACAGCTGATGAATATCAGAAACCGCATTTAGCAATCCAGTGAAGACAAACACTTGACCATTCTGTAAAGCAAAAGAGTAAAAAGTAAGTATAAGACACATAAATAAAAGCTCTTTCAATATGACTAATAATTTTTGTATTGGGTTCAACTTACTGGCAGCACAAAAGCGTTAACACCTGGTTCCTCTACCACATGGATAACCCACTCGAGTGCAGAGACCTGTGGGATGTCCTTATTGCTTTCAGATAAATGACCAACAACTCTCTTCACAACCTGGTAGCGTGGATCTGTCTCAGGTAACATTTTACTTCTGAATTCCTCCATCCACTTAAAAACAAAGAAAAATTCTTGACTGCCATGCAGGACAAACACACAGTAAATGACTAATTCAGTGACTACACACAACTTAATTAAAGCTAAATTTTCACACATTTTTCTTCCATGCAGCCAAAGCCAACATAAGAGTTGAGGCTTTCAGAACCACAAGTTAGGGATTAATAAACTTCAAAGGAAATAAACTGATGGCCACAGATCAAAAATAAGATTGTATAAACTTGGACCTACTGCCCCTTGTATCTGGCATTTTCCTAATCCACAGTTAAGCTTTGTATCACAATTTGGCAAAACTTTCCATACCTTTCTGAATTTCCAGCTGAATTTGTGATTTTTCTGTATATTATATTTTATCTGTATATTTCTGTTGTAATTTGTAAGGTGGTCAAACTTATACAAAAGATATAATTTGAATATATCCTTGTACTTGTTCAGTTCTTATCTCATGTTCCCTGTCAGACAGAAATACAGTAACACTTGTATATGGATTATCACGTTTCACTGGCCTTAGAACAGAACGTCACAGAACTCAAAGTTACAGAAATTAATGCAGTGGACAGCTTGAAGGAAAGCAATTATAGAAAAATGAGCTGATCCAATGAAAAACAGAATGTGGGTAGAGAGTTATTACCTTACAAAGTGACAGCATAGAAGAGGACCTTAAACAAGTGACAAAGAACGCTCAACTCAGCATAGAACATGAGACAGATCTCAGCATATACCCATTAGCTGTGCTTTTACTGCTTCTACTAGACTTCTGTACTTGTTAGAGTACAGTAACACAGTTAGAAGTGTTTGCTACACACAGGTAATGTGCTCTTTAACTATTACATGCCCCTGAGCAGTTTGCTGATGAAAAGGCAATGCTTAAAAAGGACAGATATGGGTCCTTTGCCGGGTTCCGAGTATGAAGTTCAAAATATATTAAGTATGTGACAAGGTTTGTTTGCCATCTCATTAACTGGACTATTTCAGCACCATAATAAAAGCATTAACAGTTTTAGAGTATTTTGAATGTTTCTTTAAAGTCTTACCATCTTATATTCCATCTGGGACAGTTCCCTAAAATGTTCTTTTCCGAACACCAACAGTCGAGGGCGCCCAGTGATGGGTGTCTCCTCCAAGTGAGTAAAATAAAACACAATGAATAAAACTCCAAAGCTACTGACACTCAGGAGTATCTTCCATTTATTTTGCCTTGCATGTTCTTTAAAAAGTTCCCGTTTATTAGGAGGAAGTGCCTTCCACCAATTTCTTATGCTCCTGTAAGATATAAATACTGTTAACTTAGGATTCAGTTTAATAAGAATTTCTTAGTGGCTGCCCTTGCTGTATTCCCTATTACAGTCTCACCTCATGTCAGAGTTTAGGGAATATTATACTGTAATTGGCTTCAACCAAACTCCATTTCTTCCCTCCCACGGGAGAAGAAGGAATGCCCCTTAGTGTCTTGGTTCATCTCCCTCTACCACACATAAATAAGAATAGAAAGAGCAAAAGATACATCTAACACCTCTGACAATGGAAATTACTTTTTGTTGAGCAAATTGTCAGCCTAAACCACAGTCCTATAAAATTTTGCAGATACTGAAATGAAAACACTACAAATATACCTACCATTCTCCACAAACTCATGCACACATCTTGTATAATGGTATCTTATACTGAGAGGAAGTGACATAGTATTTTACCTGCCAAGAAGAATAGCAAATAATTTCTGAGCTGGCTTAACAATAATCCAGAAAAGAGGAGCAGGTGCAGCCTGAAATGGTGGTGATGTGTGAAGAGGCCTGAGGATCTGAATGTTCCAAGCTGGAAAATGATGTGGGAGTTGCCCTATGGAGCCGATCTGGAGAGATGTGATTGTCTTTCCCAGCAGATGAGATGCCTGGAAGCAATACCTGCCCGGACTGTAGTGTGCATTCTTGTGTACTGCTGTATTTGGGACATTCAAAAGACATCTCAGTCCTTTACTGATGAAGTTTCTGTCAGAGTCAGGGCTTCCAGTCAAAAAACAGTTTCTAGTATTTCCACTCAAATCCAACTTTTGGCCCCTATCTCGTGTACAACTGACTTGAGTTCGGCAATACCCTGCATAAGGCTTACAGAAGTTATTGCATTTTGCCTCCTTTGTCAAAGAAGCCAAACGAAAGGAAATACAGTTCCTGCCCAACAACTTTAAACCGTGGATGATATTCATAACTTCTTTGGCTGGTTACCCTGAAACAAAGAAAACAAAATAGCAGAGATGTATTAAGGAACTCCCTCAAACAGGAAAACTCTGAAATACTACTTCATTTCACCTGAACAGATACCATGTATTTGCAAACAGTTGCACTGCACCAAAAAGAAGCCAGTTACAACGTTACAACTGCATCCTGATGCAGTTCCAAGGTATCAATCTACTTCTGACTCTGAAAAAACCCATCTTGTATCACTGAGAATAAAACAGAGTGATTTTTTTGCTTTCACTTTTATAATCACCACACAATAACTACAGGTGTCCCTGTGGAAGACACGTGCATAATAACTTTCCCCTGCTGGGCTCCTTGCTGTTCATCCATATGAGGAAAACCAGGATCTACGCAGCGTTTTGTTGGTACTTCGCTCCCGTACACAGGGTGCGTTTCCAGGCACCCGGCCCAGAAACAGAACGGCTCAACACTGCTAAACCCAGCGTGTCCCAGCCGGCAGGCTCATACTCACGGGGCATGCCTTCCCACCCGGAGGGCCCCGGCCACCCCCTCCCGAGGGGCCCCGCGGCGCTCGGTTTCAACAGCAGCCTCGGCTCCCGCCCTTCCCCTCAGGAGAGGAACCGCACCGCCGGCTTCCCCCGCCTTTTCCTAGCTCTTCCTTTCTGGCAGCGGCCTTCAGAACTGACCTCGGCTGCCAGCCATCAGCGCCCGCCATCCCGCATGTAGGCAAGCACCACCCCCACGCCTCCCCACCCTCCCAAGCTCGGCGCTGGCGCGACTATCGTGATATAGGCAGACTTGAGGAGGCGGGGGAAAGAGAAAGAGGGAGGTGGGAAGACGTGTCACTCTGAGGCGGCCGCCTGGGGCGGGGCGAGCAGGGGGAGAGCTCTAGCAGCCGCCACAGCTGGGCCTCCTTGGCTTCTTCTCTGTAGTAGACCTCTTCCACCGGGCTCCCCTACTCACCTCCCCGGCAGGAGGAGGGGTCAGACCGCGGAGGCGCCGTCGCTGCCGAGCGGGGGTAGCGGGCGGGAGGCGGGACGGGCCCGGCACCGCCTCAGCGGCAACCGCCGCTCCGCGCCCCTTCCCTCAGGCGGCCGAGCCCGCCCGCCCGCCGCTCGCGCCCCCTTGCGGAGGCTCCGCCCCTCGCCTCGAGCCCCTGCGCGCGGGGTGAGCGGGAAGGCTGAGGGGGCCGCCGCCATTTTGTGTCTGCTGGGTTGGCCCGGGCCCGCCTGTGGAGGCGCAAGGGAGGGGTGTCCCTTCGGGAGGCGCAGAGCTGCCGCCGTCCTTGCTCCTGTGCTGCCTCTCCTGTGGCTTTACCAACGGTGTGTCAGTGTTGAGACGTGTGCTGCTCTGTATCACCTCACAGCTGGGGTTGGCCCTGACTCCTGTGTCCCCGGGGCTGGGCAGACCTTGAGGTCCCTTCACCCTTCAGAACTCATGGATTCTATCATGGAATGGTTTAGGTTGGAAAGGACCTTAAGATCATCCAGTTCCAACCCCTGCCATGGACAGGGACACCTTCCACTAGAGCAGCTTGCTCCAAGCCCCTGTGTCCAACCTGGCCTTGAACACTGCCAGGGATGGGGCAGCCACAGCTCTGTGCACCCTGTGCCAGCGCCTCAGCACCCTCACAGGGAAGAGCTTATTCCTTACATCCAACCTAGATCTTCCCTGTTTCAACCCATTGCCCTGTGTCCTTTCACCACAGCCTCTGATGAAGAGCCCCTCTCTGGCATCCTTGTAGACACCTGCTTGCTTCTGGTTTTGGAGACCTGAAGTGCTTCCAGCTACCAGAGGGGGCTGGTGACACCCCTGTAGGAGGGAGCAGACAGCTCTGCAGTGGTACCTGAGGAGGTGATGTTTGGCTCTTCCCAAACCTGCTGCTAATCTAATCGGTAAGTGTGGCCTGGTCAGCTAGCTGACAGAAGTACATCTTAAATAGTGGGAGGTGAAAAACAGCTTCTTTGCTGAATGGAAGGTTGGGAATGACAGGGCAGCTTCCTCCAAGCCCTGGGGCTTTGCATGTAAACAAAGCGCCTCTCATTGCAAAAGGTAAAGAAATGCAGATCTTTGCCTTCAGCAGTGTGTGTGGACACAGTCAAATATTATTTAGTGTTTCCTGATATACTTCTAAGTCCAACCCTTTTTGATTACTGAGGCCCTATGTATATGTAGTGACCAGATCTTGGGAGTACAGCCCAAGAAGAAACTTAATGTAGTGATAGGTAGAAAGTCTGTTTTCTCAAGACAAAATTCCTTTAAGACCTGCCCAGCCTCCCTTATCCTCAGAGACATGAAGAATAAAATCTGTCAGTCAATTAGCATGGCATTAATTTGTGTGACTGTCGGCTCCAGCCACAAAAACAGCTGAGCTGTAGCAGCAGCAAAGGGGGACCTAAGGCTTGTGTATGCCCCAGCTGCCAAGAAATGAACTGAGATGGGAGCTCTCATGAATGTCTCCTGATGCTTCATATCCTCATTTGTTAGACTTTGTATTTGCTTGCTTTTCTTGTTCTTTATCTAGAATTCTCCATTCCTAAGCCAAGCATGAAGGTTTTCTACTATTTTGTTCCATGGAGCAAATGTCATTCTTCCCCCTTACAGAGTCTCCACTTTATTTCAAGTCTGCTGAAAATGTTTTTTCTTTGCATATTTCTTTTTGTTGTTATTTGTTTCTCCAATTGCATTATTTAACTGTCTGCCTAGAGGGTATAGGAGCTATTTCTGCATTCCAGACTCGCCTAAATTCCTGTTAACTCAATGGATGTTTTGAGCGTGCAAGGATGGGGCTAAGAATTGTGTTCTACACTCTGCACTTCTGAAGTCTCCCCAAGTATCAGCACTTACAATTAAAACTTCAAAGCAAACAAGCAGCAGATACAGCACAGGTAAATACAGAATCTCTCTATCAGATACCAACACTAAATATCTATATGAAAACCAGGTGAACAGTTGAGCAATCAGATAGTTATAAAGTGGTGTTTTTCTCTAAATAGACATGCAGTGAAAAAAAACCCATTCTAACTAGTCATTTGTACCGTGGCTCCTCTTGAATTTTAATGAATCTATATGCATATAACCATTTATTTCTGAGGAAATAAGGGATAAAATTCTATGCTTTAGAGAGATAGGTTAAGACTTGTTTTGTTGCTGAGATTTTGCTTATGAGCCTCATCTCTTAAAAGGCTAATTCACATTTCTGAAGAGCACCAAAAGGCAGCCTTCATGCCTTAAGACTGCATAGGACCTACTTAGAGGTCCTAAGTGATGTATAGGTTTTCTGATGAACCTCAGCATGGCACTGAATCTCATTGCTGAAAAACTGATCTGTAGAGTGAGTTCAGATCATGAAGTATTTTCACAGCTGTCTTTTTTTTTTCTCCCCAAAGATGAAATGCATATGAAATGCCTCTGAACTCTCTGCGTGGTAGGATGGAGCTCACAGAGTCATTTATCATCACCTGTCCCCAAATCCTTGCTTCAAGTTGCTGTGGAGGAAACCACTTAACATCAAACCCCCCTGACTGACTAGGTATGAGCTTATCGAAGCTTTTGCTCTCCACATACACTGTACAAACACACTATGTAGTAGTCCTTATTGCAATTAACCATTTAACACCTGATGTTAATTCTGCTTAACAGGCAGAATTCTCCTGGTAGATGTGTCCATGAGTATTTGTGTATCTCTCTATCTAAGTAGTTGTAGTGAACCTAACGAGATTTTGTATATGTATGAAATTGTTCACATAAGCAAATGTCAAACCCAGTAGAAGTAATGAAGATCAGTGTAACTGTAAATATAAAAAATATGTGTATATTCAGGTGGAAACAGTTTGGCAATAAAACCTCTCTGCTACGTGTTTTTATCATCGCAGTTCAAAAGTCAGTTAAAATGTACAGTCTTTAGCTTCAAATGAAAAAACTTATTATAAAATAATAAAATATTTGCTTTTCTATAATTCTAAGCTAAAACTAAATATTAATTAATAGTTTTGTCATTCAGGTTTCAGTGTAATTCACTTCTGCTTATTAGTGTTGGGCTAAAATCTTGGCAGGAACAATGCTTGCTATTTAATGCCACTTGGCCTGCTTGGCCAGTTGAAATCTCAGGAGTTCACATTCACTTAAAAGACCATTCAGTGCTTTTCATAAATATCAAGATTTTTCAGAATGTTTTTCACTAGAATATCCTGCCTTGATCTACTGAGTGTATTGTATTGGGTTCTAGCTGACCCTTGCCCTACTGACATATCACTCAGTAGATGCTACTTAAGAATTTGATAGGTAATAACTATTTCTGCTTTTTATCTGTTGTTGATGTAAAAGTAGATTTAAAATCCAGATGATGAAGTCACATAACCAAACAGAAGTTCGCTGCAAAACTGTTCCTCTGAAAGTTGTTCTAAAAATCAATACAGTATTTTCTTTCCAAAACATGTGTGAGCTTGTAAGTAAGGAGAAGTCTTTTCTTTCCTTGCTATGTTACAATATTTTAAAGAAAGACTCTCAGTAAAAGCCACAAAAGTCTATTGGAGCTCTTCCCACGAAGTAATTGATATCCCAGATACTTAGCTTGTTAGTACCATTTATTCAGCCCTGGCATTCCCAAGAATCACTTGCCAGTGATTCTTGCTGCCAGTCTTAACATGTTGAGTACCTTGTGTACTCAGCACTAGTGTTGAGTACCTTGCTGGCCCAGGATGCCAATCAACCAGAGTTGGGTGTGTTGCCTGTTTTCTTCTTTGGAACAGGAGAAATATAGACAAGATTAAGGAAACGCATATACAAATATTCAGAGTACATTTTAGGAACTTCTGATTTTGAGGGCTTTAAGAATTAATGAAAATGAGCTCTAGCATTACATACTGCTTTCAGCTTGCCAGATCTGTCAGCCATTACGCTTTAGAGGGCGACTTGGATGCTTAGTAGTTGCAAAAGTAACAGAAATTATGAGAATCTATCACTATAACTTTTGTTCTTCTGATCCTTGCACATAATTTGTAAACTGTGTTTGCAAGTGCTCAAGACCAGTTTGGATGGGGCTTGAAGCAACCTGATCTAGTGGAAGGTGTCCCTGCCTATGGCAGGTGGTTGGAACTGGGTAAGCTTTAAAGGTCCCTTCCAACCATTCTGTGATTCTATAAACTGTTTTTAAAGCAGCTGACTGCATAAAAACATCAGTGAAGACAGTAAGTAGCACAGAATTCTTCTACTAGGTATCTAAAATGCAAAATTTATTTGTAGAGATTGAAAAAGAAGCATTCATTAACTTTCTATATACCCAAGACCTTTTACTTAAGTCCTTTGGCAGGATTGAGACAAAGCCATTTCCAACAACAGAAAAGAGCACATGAAGATAAGAAGCAAAAAGGAAAACTCAGCAGACCTATGCAAAAAAAAATGAGTGTGTCTGCACTGCACAGTGGCTGTAACACAGCCACATCCAGTTACTTATTCCACTTAGCTTTCCTGGGTGCAGCCAGACTAGCAGAAATGCTGAGATTTCTCATTTCAAGCCCTACAAAGACACTTATTTAAAATGAAAAATAGCTGGAAAAGTTCAGAAAGGTTGAATGCATATGCCACCATATGTCCTGCGGAGGCCACCTGTGCAAATCCCAGTGGAAAATCAGAAATGCATTCTCATTCAGTCTTTCATTTAGAGAATACCACGTCTCCCTAATTGTTTCTGTGGTGCTTGATTTGTGCTGGAGTAGGACTGTAAGAGTGTTATCCCTCAGGGAGCAGGGATCCTCATGGAAATGAGATGTGAATCTTGTCAGGCTGCCTGGCGTGTGTGAAATTTTAACTAGGTAAATCCTGGTACAAGGAATTTTGTTAGAAGTGCTGAATAAGAATTGTCAAAGTTCTGGAAGTTGATTTTTCCTGCTCTGATAGCAACTGTAATGATTTCAGATTAATTTTAGCACTGAAAAAAAAAAAAAGGAGAGGTAATTGCGGTACTTAAAAGCCTGAGGCAAAGCAGTGGAAATGCTTTGGAAAAGATAATTATACCTGTCTGTTTAATAGCATTAACTGCTCCAATTAAGGAGAAGTGGAGGAAGGGACAATTTGTTTCTTCTTTAACTATTCTGTGAGGAAGTGGATTTGATAGTCAAGCAACAGAAATTGTTTCTTTTCTAAGGTGATTCCCAAAGGTTTCAACATTTTAAAGACTACTGGGGGGATCTTATCTCTTGTCATTAAGTGCTTAAGTTCATAGATATGCTGGTGTTTTACTGTCTAAACAGGAGAGGGGTTGGGTGCATTTTTGTAGTAAGCATTTTGTTTTACATCATTACCCTAATCTGGCCGTAATCCCAGTCGAAACACCCATAAACAGATTATTCTTAATCGGGGGAAGATGGGACAAAAAGAGGATTCCCTGTTGTTCCAAAAAGGCAGCAGGTTTGGTCTATTTACTACTGATAAGAGCTGGAGCAGGCTGCAGGCTGGCTAAGTGTGGTGTAGGATTTGGTGCCCAAAAAAGCTTTCCCTAGGGCTTGCTTGCTCTAACAGCGATGCATGTGTCTTTAAGCATAGGTGTATACACACACCAGTCATTACCAGGGATTTTGTGTCAATGCATTCCAGAATGCATACTTGCATATATAAGCAGGTATGGATTTTACCAGGGGGAACAAAGGGAACAGAGTTTAAGAGGGTTTTCATCCTTCTATGAATTGTTATCTTTCATTTCCTTGCTGTAGTGCTGGCATTGCTCCTGGCACTGTCCTCAGATCTTGAGTGGTTACTAAAGTTTTAACTTAAAGTTAAAAGTAAAGGCCAAGACTCACTTTGTGTGGTTGCAAAAAGGCAGTAGCCCTGAATGAAAGGGCAGCACTATCCTCTTCAGAATTATAGCACAGAGACAGTGGATATTTTGAGCTTTTTAAGGCAACCCTTCACCAGCTGAAATTGCAGAGCATAACTTAGGCAACAGACAGCTCGATCTTCATTAAAGAAAGCATAACCCTCTGTTACACAATCCAGGTAGGCAATGGCACAGAACACTCTTCCCTATCAACTATGCGTTTATTTCGGTATCTACATAGATGAATAAATATGGATGTATTTATACCTACAGAGTATTCAAACAACATTCCAAAGCAAAACAATCCCCTGAATACATTTATATGCCTGAGCCACAGAAGCTGATACCAGATTGATGTTAATCACATTGTTCCAGGCACTGCTTGAAAGCTGGCAGCCCTTGCCAATGAGAACATAAACCCACCATTACTATCATCATGCTGCCTGTACCCACAGAACCCAGTGCAAAGAATATAGAACTTAAAAACAACAAACACACTATTAAACCAGGAAAAAGCTAACTAGGGATTCCAGTTAGAAATTTCTACTTTGGAATTAATAATAGAAAGCATTTAAATTTTGCTAAATATAAAGCTATTTAATTTTCTCCTTTTCAGTGGAGAAACAGCAGCAGTAGACAGAAAGTCAAACAAGCTGAACATCATGAAGTGTTCCAGTGAAATACCTGACTTACCATGTGCAACAAAGACATTAATATATAGCCTGAGAGGCCATATGACTGGAGCAGCAGGAGAGAAATGAGCACTTAGCAGGAGCAATGGGTATGTTTAGTTTATTCAAGTCCAGAGCCTACAGTAGCTTTATTCAAGTAAATGATCTAGTCCAAAGAGAGGTTCTTTGAGCTCTGCACTACAATTAATCTTCCCATTCTGGTGATTAATTGCAGACACATACCTTATCACTCCTATTAAATAACCCTCGTGCATTTCCCATCCCCTAGCAGCATGCGCTCTACTGGTGCTTGGTGATTAGCAAGGAAATAACTGACCACAACATGTGGTTTCCATTTATTAATCCTTTAATGATTAATAAAAATATGAATGGCACCACAACAGCCTCTTTTCTCAATCTCAGCCTCTAAAAAGAAAAGCCAGGAGCCAAAGAAAGCTGCTGAAGCTGTTACCTGCTCAGATTTTTTTCAACAACTAGACACTTCTGCTTCTCCTAATCAGAATTATGTTTATGCTCCATTTTAATATGAAATCTCATCATTCACCTTCACTTTTTTTTTCTTATGACAGAAATGAGAAGAATGCAGTGATTTTAGAAGAGTCGAAAGCCACAGTAGATCCCCAGAGAAGACTGCACATCTCGTGATCTCTGATGGAGGGACAGCACCAACCTCTCAAAAGTTACGTACTTGTAAAATTTTTACTTTCATCCTACATTTCTTCATCACTAAGGGTTACTCGGCTCCAGAGTTTTAATCAGTTTGTAAAAGCCTGATTGGAGATTTGTGTGGAGTTAGCCTAAGTTCTGATTTTTCCTATGACTTGGAAAAATCCAGCCTAGATATTAAATTCTCACTTTGTCTTCTGTCAGTACTAACATATATACTTGACTGGAAACCAACCAGTTTGGATGTGGTGCCATAAGGCACACAATAAATTACAGATCCTCCTCCAAAACTTTGGGAACGCTGATGCGGTTGCATAAAAAAAACTTACTTTGGGTTTGCATCTGCTGCGTTTTATGTATTCAAAGGCCAGATTTCTCCAGCAGGTAAGCTAACAAGGATGAACTTAAAGGAAAATAGTGTATATTGAGCCAAAAAAATTAAATACCCCCAAGCAAATCTCTTCTATCTGAACCAAGGCAGAAAAAGAATCAAAGCACCTTCACTTTTCCTGCTATCCTGTTCATTCAGGAGAATCAGAGATGCATATTTAACAGTTTGCCCTGGAAGTAGCACATTACTCACTGTTAGTAGAATTACAAACTAGTAATGTAGAAACCAATGAGCAGAACAAAGGATCTGCTCCTGCTGCAGTGCCTGGGTGTAGCAGTCTCATCTCAACATTACCAGATTAGACTGATGGGACTTCTGACATCCATATGCAGTATGGAGAATGTAACTGCCACTATTTCAACATTTCACAACTTTCTTTCAGGTGTCCTTCATGGTGGACATGACCTTCCAAAGGTGGAATGCAGCAGATGAGGAGGTAGCAAAGAAGTCCAGTTCTACTGTCTTGGCCAAGTTCCAACTTCAGTAATTACACTCTGCTCTTTAAATTCCCCCTGCAGCTCTAGTAGAATAAAGCTCTTTTTCAGCTTGCCCTGAAGCATTGTGGAGTATTTCTGTGAAGCTGTACAACACTGAAAACTTATCTCCTCCCATTAAAACTGCAAGGGGAATTTAGGGAGACAGAAAGCTATTACCAGAGCTGGAGTTTGGGCAGAACACCAAGGTTAACTTACACTTGCACTGGGATCAAGGGATCTTTGCTGACTAGGAGTGTCAGACCCCTATTAAAGAGCACAAGTGGGAATAGCTCACTGTGCTGCCTGAATGTAAACTTGGAAACTTGGGATCTCTGCACCTGGAAGGGACTGCAGGAATGCTTCCTAACAAATGACTCTGTTTAAAAACCCCTGGTCTCTCATCACCACCTGATTTGGTTATTTAGTAATATTTATTACATTCTTTGTTGATAAAAAAGCTCCAGCAACAGCAACTTTAAACTTGTGATTTGAATCTACCAGTGTGTAGGTGCAGTTCTCGGGTCCATGCTGGGTACACACCATCCACTTGTTGGTCTCACAGGTGCAGTTGTTCTGCAGTGGTGGAGGCACACCAGAAACAAACCCAACAAAACCCCAAACAGGCTCCACAGCACAGGGTTGCTATGGATGCACAGCTTGAATGCAATCTGAATGACAGTAGTCAATACCTGAAGCTTTAGTTTATTTGCTGAGTCTGCTCATCTCTACGGACTGGCCCAAGATACAAATCAGAGCCACCAAACAGGTTCTTCTTCTGGTACCCAGAGAAGTCAGGAAGGTTCAGGGAGCAGCAGCAATGTAATACCTGCCTCCAGATGTTTGTCTTCCTTCCTTCCTTAGCGAGGAAACAACAGGGGAGAGAGAAAAGCCAACTGGAAACAGAGTTCCCACCTTGGCCTTCCCACATGGATTAAAGCACAAGCAGCTTGCCCTTTTCCTTCTTCAGACTTCTTACAGACTATGTAAATGCATGTTTGAGGAATTTCTCCTATGTCTGTGGAAGAAATCCTACTCTACTTCCATCATCGTTTTTCCTGCATCTTCCATCACAGTTTCTGTATAATTCCACTGTCTGGCTTACTGTCAGTTATGGACTTTCTCCCTTCTACTTCCATATATTTATAAAATAAAGTCTTTTGGAGCTTTATGTATGCTGCCAGGAGAAGCTGCAAATTCAGGAGGAATGACTATTCACCAGGTTGATGGCTCCTCTCTGACTTACAGAACACAATTCTCATCTTCCAGCATGGAAAGCTTCTCTCTGTGTTCCTTTGACAATACTCATCCCAGGGCAGCACTAGGAATGATGATTTTCATGCTTGCATTACCCTTACAACATTGTTAGTCATTTCTAAAGAAATTTTTCAATCTGAACTTTGAGTAACGCCTTTCAAGTACACTCCAATAGCTCCCAAGCGTCCTAATGATCTGCAAAGTGTGAGTTACCATTTTCATGTGTTTTGGCAGCAGCTGAAAGATATTTTCCAGTTTGCATTATGCACCTCCCATCCATCTGATCTGTCAAACACTGTCAGCCACTTTATAAATCCTGATTTTGGGACCAGTAATGACCACAGAACAGTGGATATGCCATTCCCCCATAACTGCAACTAGCCCATTGCCCTGCAGTCAGCTCCATCTACGTGTGCTACTGGTTTCTGAAGGCCTGAACTGCTTCTGATCAGTGCAAGATGGGCTACCTGTAATAGCAGCACTGACTGCTTCCGTCTGAGTGAAGAGGGGGAAGTTACCCTTGCTATCAGTGTGTATTTATAACCCAGTAGAGGTTTAATATTAGAGCTCCAGATGTAAATACCTAATAGAAAAAGGCACAATCACAGAATGGTTTGGGTTGGAAGGGTCCTTAAAGCTCATCCAGTTCCAGCCCCCTGCCACAGGATGGACACCTATTACTATTAAATGGCTGGCATTTCACATTGTCACCTTGATTTTTTGGTAAGAGTTTAGTAACTCTTCCCATTTCCCTCATTCATTTGCCTATAATAATCTGCCCTTTTTTTCAGTTTCACATCCCTCCTTCATAGTCAAAATCCATTTAACTGTCCCCCACATACTCACACCTTGTCTTTCTTTCATTTCATGTTATAAACTTGGGGGGAAAAGGGGGTTGTATTTCCCCTTTCCGGAGGGCAGAGCCTCAACTGCTGTAAACTGGCTTCCGTGGAGCACTGGCAGCTTCCATACAGTCAAGAGCTGCACCACCCCTGTGCTTAGAAAGAACCAGGAGGCTGAGCATACCCAGGGTGTTTTAGTGAATAGCACTTTGCTTGTGTGATGTTTCCGGGTGTTCACACTTGGTCTCAGCCTCATATTGTCATCTGACTGCTTCCCTTCTTACAGACGCAGTGAAGTAGAGAAAATGGGGCTGTCAAAAGCTGCATATGGAAGGAAGAAAGCCCATCAGTTACACGAGACAGTCTGTTCTCACTGCTGGAAGATTCTCATTGCCATTACCTTAGTTATAAACCACATTCATTGGCTCTTCCCTCAAAGGTGAGCAGCAGCACAATGACAGTTCTACAGCACACCCACCACCAAGCAAAAACTGTAGAACAGTGACAAGAACAGGGCAAAGAGGAACAGTTCTGAGTTTCCCTGATGGTGCTGCATTAATTGCCAAAGTGCACTTAATTGTGCTGGTGGATTTTCCCCTCTGTAAATAAGAACATACATATTGTGAAGATAAGTCTTTCCAAATACCTATATACATATATTACACTATATATATACATATAGTGTCTCTATGACACTAAAAAATAAGTATTATTGCTTTTAATTCATGCTAAGCTGTAATGGTACTACAAGAGTTAATTATTTCAAACAGCAGGCTGTAAAAGGAATAATCCTGCAGGAGCTGTGGCATGCCTTATTTCTTTAGTGATCTCTGCTTCCATGGAAACAATTTCTCAGCACAATTCTAAATCTCATCAAAATAGGGCACCAAGTCTATGTAAACCAGCAAGACATTTCCAATTAAACAACCTGAATGCTTTCATCTAGGCCATTAAATGCTTTGTCCAGTATCAAACACTATTACCATGTTGGCTGGGATGTTAACAACCAGCTACTTCGATGTGCCAGCTCTGTGGGCCAGATAAAGTCTCTCTGCACACATCCTGACCTCACCTCAGCAGGCCTCGCAGTGCATTCCCTTCCATTTGCAGGACCCTGGAGACCACTGCTCTGGTATTTGAGGTGGGCTGTTCACCTCCATACTGCTTGCTTCCACTTCCGTGGCATCTCTTTCCCTTATACAACATGTTCCATAATGCCCAGCAGAACAAACTCTGCTGGCACAGCAGGAAGGAGTTAATCTTGCTCCTGCTGCTATCAGAGCTAAAGCTAAACCATACTTAGATTAAACTGTTGGTGATGCCCCATCCCTGGCAGTGTTCAAGGCCGGGTTGGACAGGGCTTGGAGCAACCTGCTCTAGTCAAAGGTGCTCCTGCCTGTGGCAGGGGATTGGGACTGGCTGAGCTTTACTATTCCTTGCAACCCAAACCATTCCAGGATTCCGTGAAGATATCTGATGATCATCTTCAGAATTCACTGTAGTTGCCCATGAAAACAAACCCATTACATAAGTTTCATGATCCTACAGCGAGGAGATTCTGAGTGTAGAAAATACTGATCCTGGCATCCCAGCCACAAAGTACCACTGGGTAAGTTTCTGTAGGAGACCAAACAGGGGGTTTTATAGCAGAGGAAAGAAACATGCCTGTATCAAGGTACAGTGCTACTGCCCATAAAATGTGATAACTAGCCAGAAGTTTACACGAACTTCTAAAACCAGGGTGGCTCTTCGCTGGAAACCCTTTCTGTATCAGTGGTAGCAACGCTCCCTCTAGTGGTATAAAACTTGTGGAACCACTTGATTATAGTTACTGACTTGGAGTAAAGAAATACCAGTTCTGACACTCAAGAGACAAGAAGACATTACAGGGATGGAATATAACCATGCATAGCCTTGCTCAGTAGAGTCTTGTACACCATCCCTCAGGAACAGCAAAGCCTCTTAAAGGGAACAAGTATATAACAGCAATAGCAACACTGTTAACCCCCTGGTGTTTAGTTTTGCTTGTTTGGGGGTTGCTTGGTTAATTTTTCCTCAAATGAACTTAAGAATGTTCTTTGAGAGTTACTTAAATTCTGGTCGTTCCCCTCCTCTGGAATACAAGTCCCTGTGTGAGGCACTGCTGTGAAGCAGGACACAAACCTTCACACAGGCCCTGAGGGATTTGTGCAGGAATTGATACATGAAGGATCTGGATGTTTTTTTGGTGATTCTTTCTTAATTTTTCACATTGTTGTCTCTTCAAGTTTAAACTGTATCACTCTACTTGCTGATCAACCATCAACCATCTCCTGAGCAACAATGTGGCAAGGCCCAACAGTGGGCCAACATAAAGAACAAGCATCTTAGTCCTCAGGAGGTGTGCTAACCCAAGCTGGCATGGAAAGAACAGCTGGGTGAGGAACAAAGAAATGAAAGTGAGCTTTGAAATAAATAACAAAATAGGTTTTAAACATTAATAGCAAAAATCTATTTAATGTCTTATCTGTGTGTTTGGTAGCAGCAGTAGTGATATTACTAAAATAGAAGAATGCAACTTCCAGACTCATGTTATTAATCAGTCAGTATGAATTGTGAAAAGGAGGTTGGTTATTTTCTTCCTACTCAGCATCACAAATGTGGTAGTTACAGTTCACATGCAGCAGCATGTGGCAGTGATGGAGTATGAAGGTACTACAGGTATATTTCCTCCCACACCACCCTTCTAACCAACCCTTAAGATGATCCAGAGTCCATATGTGTACATCAAAAGCTCAACACTGCACCACGTCCTCTTCTGAAGAGACAAACCACTTCAAACATAGGTTTTACTTCAAACTTTTGTTGTGTAATATCACTGTTAAACCAAATTAGCACAACCATGTAACTTGAACTCGTTTTAATCGTTTAACAGAGAAGCAGCCAGCACATTGTTATCACTCCTTGAGTAGTATCAACATACATCCAGCACTGGCTTGAACCAGACCGTTAAGTGGAGAATGAACATGATCTACTGCGTATTGCTGTTACACAGGAGGTTCAAAATTCCCTTCCTATAAACCAGACCTAATTACAGCTTGTAGTACATTTACAGTGGGTATTTTTTCTAGAGAGTAAACCTATGCAAAGCTGCAAGAGAATACCTTACACTGCAAACCACTCCACAATGAAGAAGGGGAGAAATGCTTGCTCACCAAGAGTGCAGCTTCAACTGGAAACACAGAAAGCCATGCAATGGGTTTCATTTGGAAGTCCTAAAGATGGCATGTCAGGATAGATGCAGTCTGAGTCAACATGCCTTATGTAGATGGATACACCAAGCTTGTAAGTGCAGTACAGCGGTGGGATCTTGAGCTGCTCAGCAAGGATCTGAGCATAGGTGAGAGCACAGAACATTCGCAAGTACTTTTAAGTCCACAGCTCTTGGGAGAACCACCCAGTACCAAGGAGCTCAAGTTTTCAGATGAACAGGCTCTGCACCTTCCACTTAGTAACAGAGACACCACTTTGGGAGGTGTGACCTGAAGTCCCTGTACAGGACCTCCCTCCTTGGGATGCAACTCTACAACTGTAAAGCCTTTCAGAACTCTATACAACTGAAAAGCTGAAGTTAAAAACAAACATACAAAATCTTAAAATCCCATTTCTGTTATGTAGAACTAGATATATACATGTATATATTTTTAAGATAGGAACTGAGTCCCTTGTCACCCCTCTAGATATAAACTCAAGGTCTTGCTTTTCAAATATATTTTAGACCTCTGATAAATTTTGCCCAAGATAAATCTGCATAAAGAGCAATAACTGTACATAACTTGTTGTATGATTTAAAAGCTAACTTTAAAGCACACATTTTATAAAGATTCACAGTGATACAGCTCAGGAAACTCATTTCCAAGTTGCAGTCAAGAAACTTCTCACTCAAGATCAATTGCAGAATCAAAGAACAGTCTGCGTTGGAAAGGACCTTAAGATCATCCACTTCCAAGCCCCCTGCCATGGGCAGGGATGTCTTACACTAGACCATGTCACTTAAGGCTCTGTCCAACCCGGCCTTGAACACTGCCAGGGATAGGGCATTTACAACTTTTCTGGGCAACCTGTGCCAGTGCCTCACCACTCTCACAGCAAAAAACTTCCTTAAATCTAACCTGAACTTCCCCTGTTTAAGTTTGAACTCATTACCCCTTGCCCTATCACTACAGCCCCTAATGAAGAGTCCCTCCCCAGCATCGCTATAGGCCCCCTTCAGATACTGGAAGGCTGCTATGAGGTCTCCACACAGCTTCTCTTCTCCAGGCTGAACAGCCCCAACCGTCTTATCCTGTCTAACTCATTTGGCTACGGACTTGTATGAAGTTATAACCACAGAACTGATACAAACCAGTGTGTTTTTCTTCTGAGCTGCATGTTAGAGAAGACTCTGAATATAAAAATTGTCGGGCTTTTTTTTTAAAAAGACAACTAATTTTCTGCTTGTTGCACTCAGTTTGCTGCCAGTCGAGCTCTTGTTTCCACAGGAAACAGCAGCCCTTAGAAGTGGACAAGTCACACTGATGTGGCAGAACAGCAGAACACCTCCCTGCAGAATGGAAGATCAGAAAGACTGCAGCCTGTAACAAGACAGGAGTTATCATTTCCACTGGAAACAAGTACAACCGCTACTGAGAAGTCAGCTTTTTCTCCCCAGTACAAAAGCAAGATGGCAAAGAACATGCCAAGAAGCTACATGACCTTCAATATGCGTGTCAGGGGGGATGGAAATAACAGAAAACAATGTATTAAGCTAGAACCAAGCAACACTTCAGACTGGATATCAGGGAAGTTTGTAAGCAGGGAGCTACAAACCCTTCATTTCAGTTGAGTTTCTCTGTTGTGAGTTCATTCAAACTTACAATCTCTAAAGCATTAAGGAGCAAACTCATCCCAAGTGAGATGCAGACATAATTCCCAAAATGACTTGAGAGAGGATAAACTCTCCTTGAAGCCTGAAGCTCACTACTCCTGGCAGGATGTCCTTCATCCCAAACATCACACTGTCAATCAGTTCATCCTGTGTCACTGTACACCACAGTATTAGTACAAAGCATTCCTCCCTAGCCAAGTCACACGCATTAGGAGGCTTTCAAAGTATCTTTGTACCTTATCAGCGGGATAACACTGGATTCTGTAACAGTTACAGCTAAAATGGATGGGAATTCTGAAGGTGTTAACATAATGGGGAGAAAGGGAAGAAAAGAAAGCAATAAAAATCAATATTCCATCGGTTGGTTTGGTTAAAGCCATCACCCAGGCAGTTCATTCGAACTCTGATTCCTGTTTTCTTCGGCATCACTCTTTTTCTCACTCTTGTACGTGGAAAGGAACAAGTTCTCTATCTGAGTCAAGAACTCTTCAGCAATCAAGCACTTTGTGACCTTGCTCAAAGTCTTCCTCATGCACTCCAAAAGCTGGTCAAAAGAACAGAACATTGTCTTTTAAATGGTTATTTTTCCTGAGTTTATTTTTTCCCCTTCTAGCTGGTAAGTATGCCAAAGGGATTTCTACTTGTTTATTTAGGATTAACACCAGTCATCTGAGAAGCACAGAATGGTTTGGGTTGGAAAGGACATTAAGATCATCCAGTTCCAACCCCCTGCCATGGGCAGGGACACCTCACAACTAGGCTGTGTCACCCAAGGCTCTGTCCAACCTGAGCTTGAACCCTGCCAGGGATGGAGCATTTACCACTTCTTTGGGCAACCTGTTCCAGGATTAACACTAGTGAAGAGTTCAGCTGTACAATATAAACAGCAGAAACAGGAACACATGGGTGATTTAAAACCAATTATACAACAATTAAATTCCAGAGCATTCCACCATTTAACTCAACTGGAGACTGAAGCTGTTCATAAGCAAAATCATGTTGAGAGGAAAGACAGAATTAGCTGTGGGTAATTATTGTGCACGTGTTTTCTGTTTATGTCTTCTGCTTTAGGCACAATTTCTGTCTTGTTTGTGCAATTCATGTTCCAGCTGCAGACTTGTGGCAATCAAAACAGTTGTATTTAAGAAAAGCATTTAAAATTAGGAAAGCTGAAAGAAGAAACTTACTTTCTGCAAACAAGTCAGGTCGGAATCTCTGTGGAAAATTTTATCCATGGGAACACTGCTGTTGAAAAAAAAACAAATCATAGAAATAAAGAATCACTGAACTGTTTGGGACTGGAAGAGATCTTAAAGCTCATCCAGTTTCAAACCCCTGCCATAGGCAGGGACACCTTCCACTAGAGCAGCTTGCTCCAAGCCCCTGTGTCCAACCTGCCCTTGAACACTGTCAGGGATGGGGCAGCCACAGCTTCTCTGGACACCCTGTGCCAGCGCCTCAGCACCCTCACAGGGAAGAGCTTCTGCCTAAGAGCTCAGCTCAGTCTCCCCTCTGGCAGGTTCAAGCCATTCCCCTTGGCCTGTCCCTACAGGCCCTTGTCCCAAGCCCTTCTCCAGGTTTCCTGCAGCCCCTTTAGGCACTGGAGCTGCTCTCAGGTCTCCCCTTCAGGAGCCTTCTCTTCTCCAGGCTGCCCCAGCCCAGCTCTCTCAGCCTGGCTCCAGAGCAGAGCTGCTCCAGCCCTCACAGCATCTCCATGGCCTCCTCTGCACTCGCTCCAACAGCTCCATGTTCTTCTTGTGTTGTTCCTCCAGAGCTGGAGACAGGACTGCAGGGGGGAGAATCCCCTCCCTCACCCAGCTGCTCACTCCTTTTGGTGCAGCCCAGCTCACAGCTGGCAAACACTAATGCTGTAGTGAGCAGTCACATATTTGCATTGACACATTAGTGATAAACATGCAGAAACCCCACCCTGGCTGTTCTTTGTGACAGAAGTAGACACTTACCTATGGCAGAACCTGTATTTTTCTATTATCCACCTGGTTTTCGCAAATACTAATTCCCACTGTGGTTCCTCCAGCATCTGCTGGACCTCAAACTTGTAGGGCAGGCCTGGAACAATAGAACAGGGGTAGTTGGTGTTTCTAGTCCACTCACTATTTGCTTTCCCTTCTGTTTTAGCTTTAGGCACAAGCCCCTCCTTCCCCATAACCACTCATGAGTTATTACTGACTGTGAAAGCTGACAGTCCTGTTACTTGCCAATGTTAAGGAGGTTAAAGTAAAAGCACGACATATTTTGTATTCCAAATTTGGTTTTGGTGGGAGTAGGGAATAAACCTGTTCTCACCCTCAGTAATTCCTCATGCCATGGGGAGCACCCAGAAGCCTACACCGTAACAGAAAAATGCCAGAGTGGATGGAGTTTTTCTAACTTAGGGAGACTACAAAAGTGATGCTAAAATCATTCATCTATCAGTGAATAAAGGTTGGGGGTTTATGTATGAAATGGTTGACTCTTGTCAGAGGGACTCTGCTCCTCAAGGAAGAAAATCTTCTAGTTTACTGCAGGTGGGGGAAAGGAATTTAGGAGTATTTTAAGGAACACCAGAAAATGACTTGCAGAACAATTCAGTTACCGAATATCAGCACGAAAGAGACTGCAAATATGAGTAATTCATTAATAAAAGCCTTTTGAGATTATATGAATTTAATGAGAAGAACTCCAGCTTTCCACCTAGGAAGTGAAAAGAAAGTAACAAATACCATTTGCTAGTTATAGAATCACAGAATAGTTAGGGTTGGAAAGGACCTTAAGATCATCAAGTTCCAACCCCCCTGCCATGGGCAGGGACACCTCACTCTAAACCATATCATCCAAGGCCTTGTCCAACCTGGCCTTGAACACTGCCAGGGATGGAGCATTCACAACCTTCCTGGACAACCCATTCCAGTGCCTCACCACCCTAACAGGAAAGAATTTCCTCCTTATATCCAATCTAAACTTCCCCTGTTTCAGTTTGAACCCATTACCCCTTGTCCTATCACTACAGTCCCTAATGAAGAGTCCCTCCCCAGCATCCCTATAAGCCTCCTTCAGATACTGGAAGGCTGCTATGAGGTCTCCACGCAGCCTTCTCTTCTCCAGGCTGAACAGCCCCAACTTTCTCAGCCTGTCTTCATACAGGAGGTGCTCCAGTCCCCTGATCATCCAACAGTTCCATGTCCTTTTTATGTTGAGGACACCAGAACTGCACACAATGCTCCAGGTGAGGTCTCACGAGATCAGAATAAAGGGGCAGGATCACCTCCTTTGACCTGTTGGTCACCCTCCTTTTGATGCAGCCCAGGATACGGTTGCTTTCTGGCCTGCGAGCGCACACTGAAGCCGGCTCATGTTCATTTTCCCATCGACCACCACCCCCAAGTCCTTCTCCGCAGGGCTGCTCTGAATCTCTTCTCTGCCCAGCCTGTAGCTGTGTCTGGGACACATCTCTAATGTGCCAAGTGTTCAGTGCAGAACACATTCTGAGAGTAAGACTTAATCTATAGCAATACTTACAGCTCACATGAAGCACTAACTGCAGTTCATTGAGCACTGCTGTGCTATCGCTTTTCCAAAGAAAAAGAGGAGACACCATTTGGGAAAAAGTGTATTTCAGGAGATAAGCATCGATATGAAGCCCCCTCAGACAGAAAATGTAGTGACCAAAACACGTCTGCTTCTGAGGGCAGATGAAACTCCTAACTCCACCACACAGCTGGGTAAAGAGGGTAAAGTCACAGCACCATCAGCACAACAGACAGGGATCTGGGCACAGATGTGGCCACTGCTTCACTTCCCCTTGGCCTGTGAGGCGAGTCTGCAGGCAGATGTGCTCCCCCGCTTCCTGACACAGGGAAAAACAGAGGGAAGCTGCCGGCTCACACAACCTCTACTAGTGCCTTGCCAAGAAAACTGGAACCTTGGCGTTTGGATGTAAAAATCAGGATTAAAACAGGGGGAAGGATAAAGGAGAGGGGTGATGAAGCTACTATAACCCTGTACCATTATCAAGGGAATTTCCCTCAAATTAGTGTCAGGGAATGAGCAGATCCAATCATCACTTGAAATCCCATGAATCTTATCTCGTGTGTTCAGAACTCGGGTTTCCCTGGACACCAGGAACTTTGATCCTCTGACCTTCTGCACACTAAGTTACTCAAACAAGCATTTTCGGCTGCTATAGCAGCCAACTCTTTGCTATCACACTTCTGCCCCCTCAATCAGAGGGTCTGCTCAGGATTTTGTTACACAGCAGAGTAAGTGATCCATGTGAAGCAGCTCCTCAGCTTTACATATGGACACTGTATGTAAATAACAGTGACTCTTGTCCCAACCCTTATTTCCTGGGTTATGGGAAACACCAAAACATTCTTCCCTCCATTTGTACCTGTATATTCTTGTCATGACAGCAGGGACTACCTACAGGATTACTCCTTCAGTGAAATTCCTAGGTTTATACAGCACATCTTACCAAAATAAATACATAAATCTCTAATTCCAAGCTCATGAACCAGCAACGTTCTCCCCATCAGTATCCAAAAGGAAAAGACAAAGTAAAACAGTGGATAAAACACTGGTACTTACGGTAGGAACCGTCAGAACTGAGCTCATCACTGATCACTAGACAAGTCATCTGAGAGTATGGGAGAGGATTATTTCGGTTGTAAGGACTTATAATCATCCCAATGAACATGGCACCACCCCTGGAGAAGTAACTCTAGAAGAACCCAAAACCACACAAGAAATACAACTTTTTTTAGAACAGATTCTGAAATTAACAGATTTTTATCTCAATTTAGGAATGATTTTAAGATGCATTTGAGTGATAACGTGCATTAACATTGTAAATACCAGGGAAGCTTCAGGGTTGTTGGGGTTTGGTTTTGCCATTTCTTGTTTTGTCATGTACAGAGCAGCATTTACCTGGTATTTGGCTTGAGTGTCAATGTCTCGGATGGAGGGGTTGGGGTCAAAGGCGGGGTGGGAATGGTACCACCCAATGACACTGTATCCTCTGGCAGCCAGTGTTTCCGAGGCCTGTGTCTGAGACACTGGGTCCATCTCGCACTGCAGCCCTGTACTGAGACTATTGCAGGGCTCTGCTGCACAAACCTGTTAAGAAAGCCTCCAGATGGATAAATGCAAGAAATCTCCATCAGTTCAATACAATTTAAAGCATTAAGGCATACACCTCGTGTTCCTCATGTCAGACCAACAGCATGTCAGATCTTCTGCGTAACTTTAACACCTCAAGACTAATTAACTTCAACTTTAATGCATCTATGTACTTACCCTTCAGAAATAACCTTTCCATCTATTCAAATTAATATAGATGATCATACTAGTTCTAATACTGTAGAGAGAATGTGAAGTCAAACACTTACTTCCACAATTTTATCCGCTTCCGAGTATCTTCCACCCAGCAGCCCTATTACTTCTGCCATAGACACGTGAGAGTGCTAAAATGATATCAAACAAGTATTAAAGCCCAAGTTGTACAATGTCTTCCAGTTTTGAGCTACACACGACAGAACACATTAGCTGCAAGGCAGTAACTTCTCAATGATGTTTAGAAGGAAACCTTAGGATAGGCTACGGATTCTCAAACACGTAGTGTTTCAGTTTAAAGCAAACCAAAGAGGATGTCTGCTTTCTTATACACACAGAGGTACGCAGTACACTTGTAGAGCAGCTCCAGATGCGATGCAGTGCTAGCTGCAAAAACTGAAGCTCAATAACTGCACAAGTCTTGTTGCTCTTTAACAACATTGCTTTAGAACCACAAGACTGGCAGAAAACGAGCCCCTAAGATCTCAAAATGCCAGTCTATGTTAGACAGAAGCTTTAAGCAAATTGTATTTAAAATACGACAGAGTAATAAGCAGAACAGTTCATAGTTTTCCTAGAAGGTAAATGGTTGTACACTGAGCACAACAGTAACAAAAATAACCTTTAGAGGCTTTATTTAGTCCCAGATTCTCACTTCTGGGTCTGTATGCAAACAAGAGCTGCATTTCTCAGTTTTATGTTGCCCATTAAGAAGTAACACAACACAGCACAGCTTTCTGAAAGACACAAGTTGATCCTCACCAAATCCATTATTAGAAGTGCTTCAGAAGATACTTTCACCTGAAAGGGTTCCTGCAATGACAAACACAATAGTGAGCATGAGAAACGTGACCTAAGGCAATGAAGCATTCTTGATCACTCACTCTCGGGTACGTACCTGCTTCTCTGCAGTGAACAGGCAGCACGGAATCAGCTGAAAGGGATCAAAGGAACTATAAAATGAAAGAAAATCTCTCTAAAGATGTAGGAAGGTGAGGAAACTTCCCAAGTTTCCCACTGTCTCCTCGGCAGAGGAGGAACAAACACGGTTTCGTTACTGGATTTTCTCATCCCACAGGAGGATGACTGCCACCAGATACAGACACTTCACTACCCACACTCATTCACGTCAGTATGAACAGCTGAAACACATGTGTTATTTCAGACCACAACAGGTATTAATGATTTGTGGCATTCCAGCCTGACACCATGCAACTGGTCTCAGTTCTAACAGCTCTACGTTTGACCATCAGGTACATCATATACCTTTTTGCTTGCCTTGAACCTTTAGAAGACTTTGCAGGTTTCAGTTTCTCCTCCTCCCTTCTTCTTGCTAATTCCTCAGCAGAGAGATGCTAAAAAGAGACGAAAAGGAGTCTTAATGCCTTCAGTGTTCTTTCAGCAGTGATTCATCTCAATCTCCCCTCTGTCAGCTTAAAGACAAGGGCCTGCCCTTGTCCCAGGCCTCTCTCTGGCTTTCTTGTTGGCCCCTTTAGGCACTGGGAGCTCCTCTAAGGTCTCCCTGGAGCCTTCTCTTATCCAGGCCGAACAACCCCAGCCAGGAGCAGAATTAATATTAGGAACCCTGTCACCTGCATTATAAACACAAAGAAGCCACGTAAGACTGAAAAGCAACATTTACATCTTATTCTCCTATCTGCTACTGTCAGCTTGAGTACTGCAGGTAATGGAAAACAAAGGGTCATGAGATCTCCTACAAGACAAGGCAAAGAGCTTTATAGGCCTAAAACAGCACAGGGTGACACATGCTCTCAACCTTTGTGAACACCCAGCTCCAGTTGTCTTTATCAGCAACATAAAGATGTGGCAGCCACTATGTTATTCTCAAGTCATTGCTTCCACCACAAGAGGTTACATATCCATTACACAACTGTTTCCCTACACGTTTGATGCAGCAGCACCTGCCAGCCATGAGCAAGAATTAGTTCTTCAAGGACAGTTTAGACCCCAGCAGGGTTACCTCAAACGTCTGTCCTTCCAAATCCTTTGCATCACACCAGTTTCCCCAAGGGTCCCGCACTCGCCGTCGTCTTGTACGCTGCAGCAAAGCAAAGCACCACAAGTCAAGGATGTTGCTCCTGAGAACCCTGCATTTACAGTAATCAGCTCTAAGAACACTGTCCAAAAGGTGTCCAAGAGTGCACTGTACTTCCAGGGAAGAAAGAACACCCTGGATGGAGTTGTGTAGATTTAAGTACTTCACAATCTGTCATCAAACAGCATCAGTCAAGCTGTCATTTCATAAGGCTGTAAAGCGTAACACCTGGTTGATGTTCCATGGATCATCCGCATCTGACAGCAGCAGTGTGTTATATCCAGCTCTGAATTACAGCTCAGACAATCCAAGCAGCCGGTAAGTTTACATCTAGTGGATGCTGCAGTTCTTTATATTTCAACTTATATTTCCTTCCCAGTGAGACTGACTTTGTTTTTCTCTCATCACTGCTTTATTTTGCTGTGAAGCACTTAAAAATGTCACATTATTTAAAACTGGCAAGCCTTGGTAATTCATGGAGTTATAAATGAGTCATCACAGTGCTTCATTGTGTGCTCTCAGTAAGCCGTATCATATAACTGTTACACTTAATAGTTCAAGTGCATCACACACTACCAACACACCACTATCTTCTGGCTAATTCAGGCTAGTAAGTTATGGAGAGGCGGGGAGGAAGGGTAAAGACTGAAACACAGTTGTAGTTAAGTACCTGAACAGCAACATGGCCAAAGTTAGGGCAGAAACCTGTCTGATAGCAGACCCTGCACTTAGCCTGACACTCAAATGACAGAGCATCCTAATGCCACTGCAAACTGAATGAGAAGAAACTGCCGGAGATGCCCCAGCTTGAAGACGAAAATCAACTAAGACCTTCCTCACACTGCATGTTCCTGGCTGCCCCCACCACAGCGTACCATGGACTGCAAGCGCTGGGCAAGCTGATACGCTTCCACCGTGTCTTTGCCTTCCTTGGCCCGGGTCCTGTCCGCTGGCTGGGGGCGGTTGTAGACAGCCTGCTCTGCAGGAGACAGGGGAGACACTGCTCTTCAGTGAGGAAGGAAGCCACTTACTCCTGGTGCAGAGCCAAGAATGACACTGAGAAGTGGTAACAAACACCATAAAGAAGAAAGCAACAACAAAACAACCCACAGTGAAAAGGCGTCTTGATGGTGGTGTTACTGACACTCCCACTACCACGGGAAGACAGGAAAACCTCCTGCCTTATTGTTAATCACCTTTACTTCAGCCAAAATGTATTTGGAGGACATTCCTCCTCCCCTAGGTGACTGTCATTCAGCTTTAGAGTCTCTAGATTGATTTTGGTCCAAACCAACATTAGGTTGTAGGTGTATCTACACTTCGTGTATATGTACTTTAAACATGTCACCTCATTTTAACACTTGAATCTTGTAAAAAGTAGCCCTGAGGATGAAGATTTTTATTTAGGAAAAAGTTGTAATTCAGTACAGGAAAAGAAACAGCAACGTCTTAGCTCCATCTGATGTGGAGGGAGGGCAGAATTCCAGCTGGTAGCAAGAAAACGCATCAATCCCACACTGACACACAGAGAAGCACAAAGCCACCTCACAGCTGGTGTGTGGTGAACATTGAGGGAGGGGGGAAAAAAGCAAAGAAAGTAATAGATATGGATAAAACCAAAACCCCTTAATCCTGCAACAGGTTACAAACTCCTCCAGACTGCAAAGGTCACCAGTGACAATCTGCTCAGAAGGTCCTCCCTAGCAAGGACTAATGTGTATCCTCTGGACACCCTGACATGAAGTCACCTTTCAACACTAGCACCAAAACAGGCCACAGCCACAGAGGCTGGAACACGGGACACAGTCCAAACAGAGGCTCTCTTCTACTACTGTTCAAGACATTAGGAGTACAGAGAAGTTGGATTATCCACATGGATGCGTGATTCCGATGAAGTGCAGCCATGCACCCTTCAACCAAGTGAACTTAGGAGTTTTCTTCAACTCAGTTGGAAAAGACCTTTGAGATCATCAAATCCAACCTTTACCCCAGCACTACCAAGACCACCGCTAACCCATGCCACTAAGTGGCTTATCTACACTGTTTGTGAACGCTTGCAGGGACGGTGATCCCATCACTGCCCTGGGCAGCCTGTTCCAATGCCTGAGCACCCTTTTGGTGCAGAAACTGCTCCTATTCTTCAGTCTAAATCTCCTCTGGCACAGCTTGAGGCAGTTTCCTCTTGTCCTATCACTTGTTACCTGGGAGAAGAGACCAGCCACCCCCTCACTCCATCCTCCTTTTTATCTACTACAACCTTCCTGTTCAACCTTCACAAGGAATCATTCATTTTAATAAAAGAGGCTGACAGACAGATGCTGAGCATGCACTATTGAGAACTGATCCAAATCACAGTCTCGTTACCACAGCCAAAGTTAATTGCTCCGATTAATTCCAGGTACGTGTGGATGCGCCCAATGCAGTTCACGTCACCACAGTTCTTGAGGCCCGGCCGCACTGATGTCTTGTTCAGGTACTTGGGTTTACACCTCTCCCTAAAATAAAGCACAGCACGTTGTCAGTGAGTAAAACAAATCCTGAGGAGAGGGAGGAAGGAATTGTGTGAGCTGATGCAAGGTTAAAACAAGGCACTGGTTGGTTTTGCCTCTGTGATACACATACTATTTACTACTGCTCAGGGCAATGACAGCAAAAATACAAACTTCACAAACCACACTACTTATTTTAGGGTTATTCATACACATTCTTAGAATCATAGAACAGTTAGGGTTGGAAAGGACCTTCAGATCATCCAGTTCCAACCCCCCTGCCATGGGCAGGGACACCTCACACTAAACCATATCACCTAAGGCCTCGTCCAACCTGGCCTTGAACACTGCCAGGGATGGAGCATTCACAACCTCCCTGAGCAACCCATTCCAGTGCCTCACCACCCTAACAGGAAAGAATTTCCTCCTTATATCCAATCTAAACTTCCCCTGTTTAAGTTTTAACCCATCACCCCTTGTCCTATCACTACAGTCCCTAATGAAGAGTCCATCCCCAGTATCCCTATAGGCCCCCTTCAGATACTGGAAGGCTGCTATGAGGTCTCCACGCAGCCTTCTCTTCTCCAGGCTGAACAGCCCCAACTTTCTCAGCCTGTCTTCATACAGGAGGTGCTCCAGCCCCTGATCATCCTCGTGGCCTCCTCTGGACTTGTTCCAACAGTTCCATGTCCTTTTTATGTTGAGGACACCAGAACTGCACACAGTGCTCCAGGTGAGGTCTCATGAGAGCAGAGTAAAGGGGCAGGATCACCTCCTTCGACCTGCTGGTCACACTCCTTTTGATGCAGCCCAGGATACGGTTGGTTTCCGGGCTGCAAGCACACACTGAAGCCGGCTCATGTTCATTTTCTCATCGACCAGCACCCCCAAGTCGATTCTTAGGCAGAGTGAGGCTCCTGCTCCCTGTGCTAAGACAAACTCCTCAACCTAAGCCATGCCAGGAAGCAAGGAATTCCTCAGAAGAGCTACAGTACTGTTGAACTGATACAAGAACGTCTGCATTAGGTTAGTCCAAAGAGCTCATACAATCACAGGCCTCCTTAGTGGAATGAGTGAGGCTGTTCTTACTCTCTTTGCACTTATCACTCACTTTTAAACTGACACTGAATTGTGTCAGTGCAACACTTCTCTGCTATGGAATTTCAGGGTGTCTTTGCAACTACATAAGCTATCGATACACAAGACAACTGGATGGGAACAGAGTTAAACTCAGGAATCCTTCCTATTGAAATGCAAGTTACCCAGCACAGCAAGCACCAAACCACAGCTGCTAACAGAACAAACTGTACACTGAGCCTGCTGCCACCAGGCACTTCACTTCTGAAACTGATTCTCTGGAGACGGAATAGAAAACACTCAAGTCACAAGCATTACCCTAAGTTGATTTTCAATTTGAAGTAATTTCTGGTCAACATTATTTGCTCTAGCAGAGATTATTTCTTTTAGGTGCCCTTCTGTAAAGGCAATACTGTAATGCTACCGACCTCACTATGGAATTAATCATTTTGAGGAACCATTTATTATAATAACATGCACTCTTACATACAGGATGGCAAAAGTGGGAAGAAAATAACACAACCAAATGGATGTAACTTGTTCTGATACAGAACACTCATATTCCTCATGCTTCACAGTATTTTCATTGCTTAGCTTCCAGAATGCCAGAAAAAATAACAATAGGGAAGATGCAGAGGAAGCATTAACAGTCAGTGCTGTTCACTGGCAATCTTCATAATGCTGCCATAACATCAGTTTTACCTTTTTCAGGAGTAAGCTATTGGTACTAAATAGTGTTTAATTAAAGCAGAGCAGGGCATAGGTTATCTTAATCAATTAATTAATGAAATTAATGCGCCTTACCATTGATCCAAAATGTAATTCCTAATTTTCAGGTACCGCTCTGGTGTTTTGGCCTGGCGCCCCTCAAAGAACTCAGGAATAGCCTGCTTTTCTTCATCCAGAATGATGCTCCTGTCAACCTCCACTTCTTGTTCAGGTGGCTTAAGCTCCTCTGCTTCTTCCTGATGATCTTCATCCACTTGGCAGGGAGAAGGAAAGAGCAATCCATTATCAGCCAGGTCTCTCTGTCTGTCATGCTGCTCCTGATCAGCTTCTTGTTTAATACCACAAGATGTTGCTAGTCTGCCTTGGTCACTTTTGTCCAGAAACTTACTGTACTGCTGGTAATCTAAGTTCACAGGTTTATCACCATTCAGGTGCTGAGAACAGGTTGCCGCAACACTTGGGAATACCAATGCATCCACTGTATCTTGCTTGGTATGGTGAGGATCTTCTTTATGTACAGAACCCGTAGAACTATGTCCAACAGTTGAAGAACCATGTTCCACTCCTTTTGTTTCTTCAATGGCACTTTTGGAAATAACAGCTAATTCAGGTTTTCTGGTTTCCTGCTGGGAAGGAGGAGAAAGCAGCTCATCCATGTCATCAGTTATGTCCACTTCTTCATCATCCGACAGCTTCTCAATTTTCACTGCATTCAGATTGGGGTCTGCACGGCCTCTCAAGTTTCCAGCTGACCATGCTTCTACCTTTATCCCATCTTCAATGGGAAGGCTGCTCCCACATTGACTTTGTGCTTCTTTTTCAGAATCACCATTTTTTGCCTTTGGGAAACATAAAATAGTTTTAGGAAGAAAAATCAAAAGAATCCCCCTGCCTCCCAAATAGTCACAACTATTTCACTCGAACAGCAGATATTTGGAGGTGTTTCTTCCTCAGTTATCCTTTTAATAGACTTTCATGGAATCCTAGAATGGTTTGGGTTGGAAGGGACCTTAAAGCTCACCCAGTTCCAGCCCCCTGCCATGGGCAGGGACACCTTCCACTTGACCAGGGTGCTCCAAGCCCTCCACAGGGAAGAATTTCTTCTTAAGATCTAATATTAATCCCCCTGTATCAGTTCAAAGCCATTCCTCCTTGTCCTGTTCCTACCTGCCCTTGTCAATTCCTTCTTCAGGTTTCCTACAGCACCTTTAGGCACCTGAAGCTGCTCTAAGGTCCCCCCTTAAGAAGCCTTCTCTTCTCCAGGCTGAATCAGCCCAGCTCCCTCAGCCTGACTCCACAGCAGAGCTGCTCCAGCTTTTGGAGCATCTCAGTGGCCTCCTCTGGGCTGATTCAAACAAGTCTCACATCTAGGTGTTCCTGCTCCGGCAGGGGGATTGGACTAGATGATCTTTTGAGGTCCCTTCCAATCTCTAACATACTGTGATACTGTGAAGTCCATGTCCTTCTCATTTTAATCCATTGCAACTAACTCTTACACAGTGTTACAGATATACTTTTAGCTGAAGTGTAAATTAACAAGTATTTCCATTTAAAAACAACTAGACAGTAGTAATTAAATGCCCCAGAAGTCGCAAATGAGGCTAAACCTTAAACTAAGAACACAACTAAAACAGCTGTATGGTGGGAAAACAAGTATTTTCAGACTAACAACCACCAGTGTCAGACTACAATTATACTACAGTTAGTGCTTAGTTATAACAGCAATAAAAATACCCAAGTCATTTTAGGAATTTGGAATCAGTTCTGCCTTTAAACCTGCAAATAAGTATATTCCACTTTTCTGAATATGGGAATAAACAGAGTACGTGCTTTAACAGCAGTACCCTGAAAGGACAGGTTAAAATCAAGCTATATGTGCAACAGCAGACATCAAACATCCTTTTTGCTAACTACAGAGATACTCTCTTTACCTTGTTCTTAAAATACTGCCGAGCATAGCTCTTCACTTGCAGCACAGTACGACTGCCAATCAGCTTGGCAATTTTCGTCCACCGGCGGCCAAACTTCACCTGGTACAACACAACACATTTAAGTTATCCAAACTCTAACATTCCAAACATTGCACTTTACATGCCAAGAGTTTAATATAGAATCACAGGATAGTTAAGGTTGGAAAGAACCTTAAGATCATCAAGTTCCAACCCCCCTGCAATGGGCAGGGACACCTCACACTAAACCATATCACCTAAGGCCTCGTCCAACCTGGCCTTGAACACTGCCAGGGATGGAGCATTCACAACTTTCCTGGGCAACCCATTCCAGTGCCTCACCACCCTTACAATCTCAATTATCTCAATTACTCATTACAAATGCAGGAATTATTCACTGCAAATGCACAAACAGTACAGCAAATCCCTAGTAAAGAACCTTGCCATCAGTGTTCTACCAAGAAAATTGCATCCAACAGGAATAATTATTGCTGTTCTTAACTAGAGGATCTTCTTCACTCAATTCAGGCATGCTGTAAATTGTGCTGCCTACTAACCCAAGGAATCACACTGAAATGATGTTGTGGTTTAAGACCAGCCAGTAACTCGGAACCACGCAGCTGCTCGCTCACTGCCCCCGCTGTTTCCTCCCCCCTGCTGCCAGAGGGATGGGGAGGTGAGTCGAAAGAATGTAACTCCATGGGCTGATATAAGAACAGTCCAGTAACTAAGGTATAACACAAATCACTGCTGCTACCACCAATAATAATAATGATAAGGGGAATAACAAGGGAAGAGAATACAACACCTCACCACCCGCTGACCGATACCCAGCCTGACCTGAGCAGTGATCTCACCCTTCCGGGTAACTGCCCCCAGTTTCTATCCTAGGCATGGTGTGCTGTGGCATGGAATACCCCTTTGGTTAGTTTGGGTCAGGTGTCCTGTCTCTGCTTCCTCCCAGCTTTCCCTCCTCCCTGGCAGAGCATGAGGCTCAGAAAGTCCATGGTCAAGGTAAACATGACTTAGCAACAACTAAAAACCATTGGTGTTATATCACTGTTCCCAGGCTGAAGTCAAAAACACAGCATTGCACCAGCTACTAAGAAGGAGAAAAATGACTGCTACTGCTGAATCCAGGGCATACAAATTTATACTTGGCAAAGCAAACCCCATTACAGTCAGCACTGTACAACCATAAAACCTCCGACGACCTTCCAACAGTAGCTAAAAGGTTTCACTTCATTCCCCGATTCGCCTCAAGAACACACTATACTTCCCATAGTTAACTACAGCATTACAGCTGTACAGCTCATAAAGCTGTACATTTGATCTACTCTGTGATCTCTAATTGTAATCAGCCTCACATGAACAAAATCCGGTAAACAAAATCAGATTTATAGTGATGAATCCCCAAGAATTATTTATTACTATGCTTTTGGTAGATGGCAAGTTTTAAGCAATCAGAAGTACAAAGGCTGAAGCAGATGAATATAACATCCTTATACTATTATTTTGTTAAAGATAAGCTAATTAATTCTGTTCCATGTAATATATAAACCAACTTACCAGTCCTTGTTCAAATAGCTCTTTCTCTTCTGGCGTCCACTTTAATGAGTAGTTAGCTGGTTTGGCAGGTGATCGGACCCTAGGAAAATACGAAGCAGAAGTGAAAAACATTAATATTAACATTGCTATTGATACTAATGTTAATATTAACAATACATTCTCAAACCCCAGTAACTGAAGGCAACTTCTGACAGGAGAACTACTCCCAGTCTTTGGTAAAACTCAAGGAATTCATTTAAACATGAATATGACTGATAAAATCTTGAGAATTATCTCAGTTTCTCCATCACAAAGAAAGATGTAAATATTTCTTCTCCATCACAAAGGAAGATTTAAGGCAACACAATATTCATCAGTGACCAGTGGCACAGAAATACATGCAAGCAGCAAACAGAAAAGTTCAGGCAAGAAAGCTAACCAGCATTAACAAGGTTTTTCTTCCCCTAAGGAACAAAAACCAAACTGGTTTACCACAGGCCTATTATTATACACAACAGTATTTCTTTGTGTTGCAACAGCTCCAAACCCTTTTTTGAAGTGTGTCTGGTGATTCAAACACCAGACCCCACACTTAAAAACGCAACTAAATCATGAAGATGTACGTACATGACTTTTCCAGTTTTCTTATGTGGGCTGCAAATATAAAACAAAATGAAAATAAAGATTAATAACTGTGATGCAGTTGCGTATCTCAGAAAATAAGCTGATTTTAGAAGGACTTTTCACGGCTTGTCATCCAACTGAGAATTTCCCCCCGAGAATGCTCACCTTTTCACAGATCTTTTCTCCACTTCCTTTTGATTGAGCCATATTTTTTCAGAGAGGGATTTATTAGATAAATAATATCTGAAATAGTTATTAAGTTTGCAAGCACCCGAGATGTGGACATGTGAGGATTATACTGGTTCATAATTATTCAGCTCTAGAAGCAAATACTGCTACAATACCAAAATACAATTTCTCACACTAATTTAATGAATAAGCAAGTGACATCTGGCTTCTGAACCTTCATGCTCACTTTACTTGCAGCCAAGTGGGTATCCCGCTTCTAGAATCTACCTACAGGATGACAGTGCTTCAGTCACCGTAACAAGCAAAGATTCATCCCGTTCCTTTGGAAACAGGAAGTTTTTTATTGCTCCACAGGAAACCATGCAGCAAATCAGCAAAAGGATACTCCTCTTCCAGCAGCATTTTCTCAATGACAGCCCTGTTTTCTTCACTAATGCTGCTGTCCAGCGTCCATGGCTGCAAACAATACAAGCATGATTTAATATCAGAGTTCTGTCATGCTGTGACTTGAGGATCAAGAAGCAATATGTAAGTTTCTAAAAGTCAGCAAAAAGCACTGCTTAAAAACAAGCATGAACATGAGAATGGGAGCAAACCGAAGTTCTGATAACCTTGCTAAAGTAGCATCTATATAAGAAAAACTTACAAGACTGTTGCCAGTTCTCCAGGATGAATCCAGGTAGTGATCCTGCAGCAAGCTTGAAGCCGTGTTTTCATGATCTCTGGAAAAGATCCCAGTGCTCAGAACAACAGAAACAGATTCAAACAAAATGAATGCTGTCAGAGTTAAAGCAACAGTGCAGTAAACAACAGACTTCAACAGAAGATGACAGAATTAGCTACTAAAGCTAAATTCACACACTGCAGCCTATTATATAATGTTACTTTCTCGCAATATTCCATTAGATGTAACACAAATGCCCCTCGGTAAGTCCTGTTTTCAGTAATTGCAGCAGCAGCTCCTCAGCCTTTTCACTGCAGACTGTACAGGATAGCAGTGAAACTCCAAAGAGTAACAATTCTCATCCAGGATGACTGACAGCAGGAAGGCCCATGCAAAATTTACACAAACAAAAGAAGTCAGAATTCCACAGACAAATGAACTGTATTTTTAATATCACAAGTCATTGAGTTTCATTATCTGCACTTAACATTCCTACGTCTTTCCCCGAATAAGGTAAAAACACCCTATTGTAAACACAAATCTGTTTTCGTGCCAAAGAAAGCTCATATTTATACAAGGTTTAATAGAGTCCTATCACGTTGGGTTGTTGCTGCTCTTACAGAATTCATCCTGATTATACTTATCCTTTTCTGTGAAAGTACTAAAAGGGGCTGACAAGACATCTGGAAAGGGACTTTTTACAAGGGCACGTAGACAAGGACAAAAGGGAATAGCTTGAACCTGCCAGAGGGGAGACTGAGATGAGATCTTAGGCAGAAGCTCTTCCCTATGAGGGTGCTGAGGCGCTGGCACAGGGTGCCCAGAGAAGCTGTGGCTGCCCCATCCCTGGCAGTGTTCAAGTCCAGGCTGGACACAGGGGCTTGGAGCAAGCTGCTCTAGTGGAAGGTGTCCCTGCCTGCGGCAGAGGTTGGAGCTGGGTGAGCTTTAAGGTCCCTTCCAACCCAACCCAGTCTGGGATTCTGTGAAATGGGTCACATTCATAGCGTCTCTCCTCAGTATTGTCTCCAGCAGTGCCAGGTACTCCTCTAGGCCTCTGGTGCAACTCTCTCATACTCTGCCAGCAACTGCAATGCCGGGTTTGCAGTTTTGCAGTTGCTGCCCCTTGTCTTCAGCATCTGTTTACAGAGCCCTCAACTGTGAATTTGCTGAACCAGTTTTCTGAACTCATCTGCAAGTTCGCCACCAGTTACACAACAAAGTCCGTTATCTCTGTGTTTTAAAGGAGTCTCTTCCACCAGTCTCACCCAGCTCCCCGGTTCGGGTACCGCTAGGTCCCATGACAGCAGTTCCGCGCTCACCCCACGTTAGTGCCTCCACAGCCCCCATTCCCGATGCCCTGCCCGATAATGCTCCACACTGCCGCTTCCCCCCACCCCCTAGGGCCCTCAATGAGACTCCAAGGTCTCTCCCCAGCGGCGCCCGGCAGCGGGGAGCACCAGAAGAGGCCGAGGCCCCGGGCGAGCGCGGCCCAGCCCGGGCAGCCCCTCAGCCAGCGGCAGCCTTCCCCTCGCCGTCCCCTCACACAAACCCCGGCCGCCGCGGCCACACAAGCCCTGCGCGCCGTGGGGGGGAAGGCGCACAGGACACGCTGACGGGAGCGGCAGAGCCACCAGCCCTCAGGGCTCAGCGCGGCTCTCACTCACCCCGGCCCCGCGGCCCCGGGTACGGTCGCCGGGTCCCCTTCGATATCCACCTCCAGCTCCTCAGCCGCCGCCATCACCGGCCCTGGGAGAGATCTCGCGAGATTTGGCGGGAGCACAGCCCCCCGCGCGTGCGCGGGTTACCTCAGTGGAGCCGCCGGGGCGGAGGCGGGGACATGGCGCTGCGGTAGGCGGGGCGCGCGGGGGCGGCTGAGGCGGGACGGGCGTGAGGGGCCGCGTCCGGGGGACGGGCGGAGGGAGAAGGGGTGAACGTGAGGTAGGGATGGGGGAGCGGGGTGGGGGTCTGTCCTGTGCCAGCAGCAGTGTGGCAGCAGGGCCAGGGAAGTGATTGCTTCCCTGCACTGGGCACTGTGGTGAGGCCGCTCATTGAATCCTGTGTTCGGCTCTGGGCCGCTCACTACAAGAGGGACTTTGAGGTGCTGGAGCGGGTACAGAAAAGGGCAGCGACGCTGGTGAAGGATCTGGAGCAGAAGTGTGATGGGGAACGGCTGAGGGACCTGGAGGGGGGTTAGTCCGGAGAAAAGAAGGCTCAGGGGGACCTTATTGCTCTCTCCAACTGGCTGTTGGGGTGAGGTGGGGTCGATCTCTTCTTCCAAGGAACAAGTGATAGGACAAGAGCAAACGGCCTCAAGCTGCACCAGGGCAGGTTTAGACTGGAAATTAGGAACAATTCCTTCACCAAGAGAGTGCTCAGGCATTGCAACAGGCGGCCCAGGGCAGTGCTGGAGTCACCGTCCCTGGGAGTGTTCACAAACTGTGTAGACGAGGCCCTCAGTGACATGGGTTACTGGTGGCCTTGGCAGTGCCTGGTTAACGCGAGAACTTGATGATCTTAGAGGTCTTTTCCAACCCCGTTGATTCTGTACTGTGAAGTGCAGTGCGGGAGGCGGCTGGAGCCTGCCCAGGCCGCATGCCCCAGTGCCCCCCACCCTCATCTGCCCCTCTCGCTGTGGGGTGGGAGCGCTCTGTGAGGGTTGCAGGTGGATGAAAAGCCCTCTGGTGATTTGCCTTCCCTCGGCTGTAGTTGAAAGAGTGCTGAGGGACTGGTGGTTTATGAATGGCCCGGGGAGAACCGGGCCGTGGAAGTGTGGAGTGATGGCTGAAGAGGGACACTGCTGACTGGTGCCGCTGGGTACCTCCTGCTGCAGATGCTGTGGTTGTTGGGCTCTGCCTGCGTGCTGCCAAACATGCGGTGATGTCTTTTAAGCAGTGGTGTTGTGTTGGTCAAGTTAAAGTGTTGTTATATGGCTCTAAAAATTCCAGTTTCACTCTCATATATTCTTAAATCAGTGTTTGTGTCGCAAGAAGTATTTGTCTCTTTGTGGTAATTTGGCTTCCAGTCATACACTGGTGAGAAGTGTGAAGAATCATGAGGCTTGAGTATCATTATACAGAGAATTACCTCAGAGAACCTTGTGCTGCCTGGAGAAAGCGTGTCTGTTTTAAGAAATGGCAGTACAAATGTTTTGAACCAATAAACTCCACTGCAACCTTTTTATTCTCAACATTTCATCATTGTGCTGGGATTGATTTGAAAGTAAACGTAGTAAACAGCAAATACGATTGGTTTAATTATCTGTACATAAAAATGCAAAATCTAGATAAATGGTATCATGAAAGATAGAAAGAAAAATGATTGTTAGAGTCCCTGGAGCTGTCAGTGCCATGTTGAAGGGTGTAATATAAAAGCGTCTAAAGAGGGTCCATTGCAATACTGAATGTCAATGTAGCACATACCAGCATCCTAAGGACAGCATCACTGTGTTAGCAAAGTTTTGGAACACACACTTCTCTGGTTGGTTTATACCAAGGCTCTTGGTAGGATTTATAGGGTCCTGCAGGAAATCTGGACAGGGGCTTTTGACAAGGGCCTGTAGTGACAGGACAAGGGGAATGGCTTTAACCTGCCAGAGGGAAGATTTAGATTAGGTATTCGGAAGAATTTTTTCCCTGTGAGGGTGCTGAGGCACTGGCACAGGGTGCCCAGAGAAGCTGTGGCTGCCCCATCCCTGGCAGTGTTCAAGGCCAGGTTGGACACAGGGGCTTTGAGCAAGCTGCTCTAGTGGAAGGTGTCCCTGCCCATGGCTGGGAGGTTGGAACTGGGTGAGCTTTAAGGTCCCTTCCAACCCAAACCATTCTGTGACTCTATGATTTATTAGTGTGGGGAAAGTATCTAGTAAATCTGGAGTACAGCAACCCCACAATAGTGCAATTTGCAATAGTTGCCTTCTGATCTCTGGTTAGCTCAGAGAGCAGTGCTATAATCAGCCTAGACCAAGCTCATATCACATTACCCTCAGGAGAGCCAGTGCTGCTCTTCTCTTTGTTATCCTGCTTCTCCCTGTGTTCAGGTACGGCTGTGGAGTAAGTTGGATCAGATCACACATACAACCTAGAGCAGGGCTGGGGTGGAAGGGAGGGCAAATCAATCTCTCTTGGCAACACTCTGCAGTTAGGACTGCCAAAGTTAAACAAAACTGGGTTCATCTACTCCAACGTTTCTATCTCAGTGTCCTTGAAGATACTGATATCCCCTTATTCATAATAGACATGCCTTTTTAAAAGAGTGATTTTATGAAACAGCACTTAACTAATACAAACTGTTCATGACAGGTACAGGAACAGTTATTTTCTATCTTGTTTTTTCAAGTCTCGATTTTTACTGGAAGAGGTCATACACATTCTGTTTAAAAGTGGTGCTTTTTAAATAGATTCCAAGTAGGAGATTTGTGAGAGAAGCAAAAGGCTAAGCAATACTTTGAAGTTTAACAGTGTCTAATAAGATACCTTGTTCTCCATGGCCACCTTTGGTTGCTAACTTAATTCTGCCTGCCCTAGCATAGTTAAAATCATACTGGGCAGCAGGACTAGCCAAACTACATTACGAGAGAATTCTGCATTTAACTTTAGACAGTTTAGCTTTACGTCTTCATTTTGTTATTAACATTTTCTTCTTCAAAAGTGTTACAATTTGAGCCTGGTTTTCTGTTACATTAAACTCTGCTACTTGCAGTGGGGTCTTTTGAAGAGTGTTAGCAGCCAGTAAATTTGCTCTTTGTCCTTGTGACCAGTTTAGGAGGGCACTCACAGCGTTCAAGTGACCAGCCTTGCATGCAGAGTGCAGTGCCGTGTCCCTGCTGCTGTCTGAGGCATTAATGGCTGCTCCGTGGCTCAGCAACACATTGATCAGGTCACTGTGCCCGTGCTCTGCTGCAATATGCAGTGCAGTCTTTCTCCAAATGTTTCTATCATCAATATTTTTGTTTTTCCCTGATGCCAGAAGAATTTTTACAATCTCTGTGTTTCCCCTGATGGCTGCATAGTGCATTGGAGTGCATCCATCCATGTCCTTAACTCCAAGTCTTGCTTTTCCAGCTAACAGAACTTCCACAATGTCGAGATGTCCTCTTACAGCTGCACTGTGCAGGGGAGTCTTCTTCTCTTTGTCTTGTGCATTGGGATCAGCTTTAGCATTCAGAAGCATCTCTACCATTGTTCTGTCTCCCCTTTCAGCAGCAAAATGTAAAGGAGATTTTAACTGCTTATCCTTAACACTAACATGGGCTTTGTGGTGCAAGAGCTGCTGGGCAGCATCACTGTTACCTCTTTGACTTGCAATATGCAGGGGAGTAACAAACTCTTTAGTGGCAGCATTAATTTGGGCCCCAGCATTAACTAGAAGTCCAACTAATGCACCTCTATTATGAAGGGCAGCAACATGGAGTGGGGTTTCATGGGCTTGGTTCCTCAGGTTAGTTTCCATCCCCTTGTGCAGAAGCAGATGTGCAGTAGAAGCAGCCCCAGCTTGAACTGCCAAGTGCAAAGCTGTGTCTGAAGCAGGAGTCCTCATTCCAAAGTTCGCTCCCTTTGTGATTAGAACTTCTGCAGCTTCAGCTTTGCCTGTTTCACACGCCAAGAGTAAAGGAGTGTACCTCATGTCATTGAGAGCATCTATATCTGTACCCTTGTCAATTAAACCAGCTATAATACCGGGCAGGTTTTTCTGCACAGCTCTAAAAAGAGCTGATTCCATTACTTCAGATGGAAAATCTTTGGAATATTCTAGTAGTATTTTGAAGATGGATGGGTGATTGCTGTTGAAGGCTCTTTCAGCTATGTTGGAATCAACACTGGCTCCTGCTTCTAGCAGTACTTTTGCAGTGCTTTCAGACCCGTGAGACACAGCATGACTAAGAGGAGGCTGTCCCTTTTCGTCCTTCCCATCAACGGGGGCGCCAGCCTTCAAAAGTATTTTTGCCAGACTGCTTTCGTCTTTAAGAGCTGCCATGTGCAAAAAGTTGTGCTGGTTCCTGTAGCTTCTTGCCTCTTCTTCCACGAGTATCTTCACTATGTGACTGTGGTTATTCTGTGCAGCCAAATGAAGTGGTGTCTTGCCTTTCATATCCAAACTGTACAGATAAGCACCAGATTGGAGCAGCACTTTCACTGCATCACCATGGCCTTTCTCAGCAGCCCTGTGCAGTGGTGTTCTTCCATTCTTGTCTTTCACATCTACCTTTGCACCTTTGCTGATCAAATATTCCGTTACAGTTGCATGTCCATTAGCAGCTGCAACATGCAAAAGTGTTTCACTTGAGGAGTTTAGCACGTTAATATCGTTGTCTTTCAATGTCTTCTCTAACTCGGAAAGATCGCCCTTAGTGACTGCATCAAAGATGACAGCATCAGTGTGATCTTTTCTACGTTTTGCTGTCCTTGACAGTTGAAGTTTTTTTCCTTTTTTCCTAATAGTCCATTCTTTCCTTTTTTTTCTAAGACTGTCTTTTTTTCCCTGGTGCCATTCATTGCTACTTTCAAACCAAACCTTGTCTTTTTCAAGTAAATATCCCACTAATTGTCTTCTGGCATCTCCAATGCTTTCATTTACTTCACTGACGTATTTTCTTATCTTGCTGTAAAGTTTTGGCTCCACTTGCTTTAAACATGGATAAAAAAAGAGCCTACAGGCTCGTTCACCATGAGACATCAGTAGGTCTAAAACTCGAGAGTTCTTTTCTGTTCGTGTCCTGTAGAAACTCATGACCACCTTTTTCTCTGGGGTAAAAACACCATTGTCTATCAGCCACTTCAGAAGATGGTCTGGGTGGGTTATGCCTTCTACGAGCTCTTCTTTTTTAGTCTTTAGGACTTCAATTGCATATGGATTTGTGAATAAGCTTGTTGAATGCATGATCACATTGCTAAACAAAAAGTGAATTAAAGCTATTGTTTGATATTTGAAGTCAGATAGGAAATAGCAAAGCAGGCTCACATCACTTCACACATTCTTTTCATACAACTATGAACCAACAACCGTTGTACTTCAGTGATAAATCTTTAAAGAATGAGAAAGAAATCAAAACTCCCTCACCTTTGCTTTGCTAGTTGCTAGAAGTCCTTTGATCTTCTCTGGTCTTCCTTAGCAACAAGTAAAGTTCAATAACAAAACAAAAATCTGTGATATGCAAAGATATTCCACGTGGAAGATTTCTTCCAAATTTTTTAATGAAATAATTAGGGAGGAAAAAAAGATGTTTTTGTGACTCTGGTATTTGAATAGCAGATATTTTTTTATCGAGTTCCTCACTCCTCTGGCCAAGCTGTGTTTTGTAGGTGCTTAAATGACCAGTCTGTTAAACATGACAAAGGAAAATGCACAGCATAGTTACTGTTGCCGTGATTACATACCTTGTATGATCTTCAATGAAAGAGTACACACTGCCAGCTATAATGTAATGAAATAAAAAGATGAAGACTTAGATAAAAATGAACTGTACGAGCAGCTAGCTATAAAAAGGGATCCAGCCTTTCTAATATGAGTTACATGTTCAGTCTATGAGGTATATTTAACTTAAAGGCTATTTAGATTGTCATTCCTGCTGTAATCTGGAGTCTGTCTGGAACTTAATTCTTTTCCATGAGGTGGATCAAGGCATGTGATTCAGTATGCAACATTTAAAGTATAATTAAATAGAGCTTCAAAACTGTGAATATGTATAGTCTTCAGTACGGGTGTAGGGCCTTTGAATCTGGCTGTAATTAATTTAACTTATTGGTGTTAAAATTCCTTATGGAGAGAAGGAAATAATAATCACCTACACATTTGAAAGCAGCTGAGACAGAAATAGAGATTAGAGAGTTCTGTGAGAGCTAGAAGTAAAATGAGCTGAGAAGCTGAAAGCTTGACCTTGTTTAAGCAAATGGGAAATGTTGCCATGTGTTTCTTAGCTCAGCACTCTTTCTGCTGGGTCCTGCTGCCTTTGATGGGATTTTCTTTAATAGTACATACAATGTGACTGATAAGAGTTTTAATTTGTTTTCTGTTGACTTTAGTTTTATAAGTAAAATCACAAAGCTTATTATATATATACATATAAAGATTTATTGAAGAAATAGCTGTGAAAGGTGAGATTTTTAATATATATTTTGAAAAGCAGCCAGTTACCAAGTCAGCAAGTTTGACAGTCAGTGTAAGAGCCCAATAATTCCTCTGAAATGCAAAGAAGGGCACTACACCAAGAATAGCAAAACCTTTGTCATTTAGGTAATGATTAGTAGCGCCTAACATGGAAAACCTGGCTTTATTGTAGGGAGTCAGGAGGCCTAAATTGTGTTCCCAAATCTGTGAATGACTCAGTCTGTGATCCGCAAGTTATTCAATCTGAAGATTTGACTTAAAGTACTGAAGATCTATCCATGTCTTGGGTAAATTAATAGGCCTCAGTTAAAGGTTGCTGAAATGGGATCCTTACGTCATTATTGTTATTGTTCCCATGCAAAATAGACATAGCAATACTTGATCTTCATCAGGGACTCTAGTGAAAAGACAAGGGGTAATGGGTTTAATCTTCAGCAGGGAAGTTCAGGTTAGATTGAAGGAAGAAGTTCTTTACTGTGAGGGTGGTGAGGCACTGGAACAGGTTGCCCAAAGGAGTGGTAAACGCTCCATCCCTGGCAGTGTTCAAGGCCCGGCTGGACAGAGCCTTGAACAGCAAGGTGTATTGCGAGATATACCTGTCCATGGCAGGGGGTTGGAACTGAATGATCTTAAGGTCCCTTCCAACCCAAACCACTCTATAATTCTATAATTACCTTCACAGCAAAGTTTTAAGTTCTGGCAATGGGAAATGTTACATTAGTTCTGAGCTGTATCATTAATACGGACAGCACCAGGATGTTTGGAACTCCTGAAAACTTCTAAACCAGAGATTGTGATATTCTTTTTGAGACTAACAGCACGGCAGTAGTTTTATGGTGCTCTGGATACAGAAGTTTTACTGGCAAACAGTACAAAAGAAGGGTGCAGTACTCCTAACTGGCCTTGAGGAGGAACATTTGATCAATGTATCCAGGCAGCATCTCTCTCAGAGTCACTGGGGGACTTCATTTGGGGAAAATAATATGCAGCACATCAGTTGTTAATAGATGCAAATCAGTGTTCAAAATAGAATAATGCATTTTTTTTAAACAAGTTCTTCATGATAAGAATGTGACTAATGAGGATAATTTGTCTTAAAACAGGAATCACATTTGACAAGGAAATTTTGGAACCTTGTGGTATAGATTCAGTTTTAGAAGTTGTGCTTGAAAAGCTCTTATTTTTTAATTAGTATTTAGCTACTTTTAGAATTGAGCCTTTGTTCCAACAATGACTTCACAAAGAGATTGAGAATTGGGGTTTTGAAGCATGTTTTTTGTTTATATCTTTTTTTAACATATTATCTCTTATTCGTTTGACATAAATGTTTTAGAGAAGGGAGAAATATTAAGGTTCCACATCTCTTCTCCTTTAATTAAGTGCATGAGACAAACTTGTGAGATTGTCAAAAAGCTCTTCATTAAAAAGAGTGGCAAAATTTAATATTGCTAAAGATCTAAGAAAAGAAGTAAGTTGGAGAGAGGAAAAGGCAAATCTTTTACATTTATCATTATCCTTTATATATATTTGTTGCCTGAGGGGCATAAGGTGATTTTTTTCTTTTCCTTGCTAAGCACTTCTATTTCTTCTGGCTGCACGTGCCCAAGGACTGTTCCCTGTTAGGTTATTTTGCAAAGAAAATTAAGGTGTTTGCTTCTGTCTTCTTTGGCAGATAGCACTTAAGTATCTTTGTGCTCTGCCTTAAGGGTATATATCACAGGGCTATAGATCAGGTGATGTGCATTGAAGAGATTTTATGTTTTACTTGGGAAGAATGTAGTAAAAAGTTCTGATTGATACTAGTGCAGCTGGAAACAACATGGTAGAGTTTAGAGCAGAACTCTAAAAGGGCAGGTGATGCTGTTGATGGGAAATATCTCTATTTTGGCCTCTGCCAAGTAAGTGCCCTTATAGGGAACTGTTTTAACTTGGCTATAGCTGGGAGGCTTGAGCCAGTTATTTCTGATATGCAATCTCAGTTGTGCTACTAACTTGTGTCCTTGGGCAAATCACTTAATCCCTGTGCCCTGTTTACACAAGCATTAAAAAAGGAAATATTTTCTACCTCACAGACATGTCCTAAGTGTTTATTAATATTGGTGCAGTGCTTTGAAGTTACAGAGTGCTTTGAAGTTTTTGTCCTTTGAAGTACTGTTTTCTGACTTCTCAAAGATGAACATTTATGTCTTAAATTAACACGTGCCCGTGTTTTCTAGCTTATTTTATGTTGCTAGGTCATCATCGAATATACATTTAATTTTCTCTAGTTTAATTTCTCCAAGATGAAAGCAACCCAAACTACACCTTGCAGGCTGTTAGATGGACACGGGAGGTGGTGTGGCCGCCGGAGTGAAGAACCTGTAGAGGTCACCATTTCTCCACCGAGGCTTTCCCACTGAGCCTGTTATTACCGTCTTCTGCTGAAACGGCATGTAATGCAACTGAATGACTTCCAGTAACTCCTTGTATTCTCTAGGGCATTTTCTCGATCAAATTGATGGAAAGTCAAACATTAATAACACAGTTTCACTCACCGTGATATTTTTATGTTTCCCAGTGTGTAATTTCATTTATGACGATTGTTTGCAGTAATGCCAAGTGCTTATTGGGAACATATCTCACTGTAGAATAACCAGTCTGTAAGAGATAATAAAGCCAACATCATTATCTAAACATCATGAGGGATAGAGAAATATATTTTTATTAATAAACATGGCTCCTGAATAAAGCTTTGTTTTGGATAACCAGAAATCTAAGCATGGCCTAGCTGGCTGAGGTTGAACTATATTTAGATATAACTAGATTGAGAAATAGGAGTGATAGGAGAGTTCACAATAATGATTAGAGTGCACTTGACTGATTATAGCACTGGGAGAGAAGCTGACTAGTCAGAATGTCTGCAAGAGAGACAAAATGTAGTGCCTAGTTTTGCTTAAGGATGAACAGCAGTAAATCAGGAAAGTCAAAGGGGAGCTTTGGCACTGAGTGATCTTGTTTGTGTTAGTCATATGGATGTAGAGACAGACTTGGGGCCTTCCTGGTGCTGAGAAGTCTCTGCCCTGGCTGGTATTTAAATGTGAGGTGTTCCCTAGAGTGATGCTCTCCTTTGAGCGGGACTGGCACATACAGAACATGTGTATCATCATCAGCGGCTGAGCAGGGGCCTGCTGGAGGGAGTGGAAAGCTGATCTATCCAGTCTCATGTTTTGAATCTAGACTTGCACTCCAGGCTCCCATATTTTCCAGTCTGCACCGTAGGCATTGGCAGGGCACAACCACCCCTTCAGAGTCCTCTGACAGGTCCTATCCTTGAGAGAGCTGCCTCACAGAAGGCACAGCTTCCCTGTTTTGTATCCTTTTCATGGATGCCTTCAAAATACTAAGTAATAATGCAACAGCTGATATAATAATCCAGGTATTTTATTCTATTTCCAAACAAAGTCACAATGTTATCCCCACACTGTAGTGCTATTTCCTCAAGTATAAACAAAAAATGACGACCTTGTTAAGTGCTGCACCTGTACGATGCAAAATGTTCTTCTTTCCAAAGATTAGTGTATACTTTTATGACATTCCCAACCTGAGGTAACTGTAAGTGGATGATCCACATCTGCAAAGCGCCTCGATGGTGTAAATGCTGATAGAGTAGAGCAAGCTGTTTGTCTGGATCCAAGTGTAGGAATGTGGCTTAACAACCATAACTCAGCCAAAAGTTAGGATGAGGATTGTTTTGCAGCTTACCGTACATATATTTGTACATTTCAGAAACCATATTTTTGCCATTCAGGTTTTGAATCATGATATTTAAGTATTTTTCCACAGTTCTTAATGCAGTTACTTGCCAGGGAGTTTTTTGGGAAGCTACATACTGGAGATAGAAGGAAAAAAAGCTTTCTAATTTAGCTTCACAGAGCCAAGGCAAGTCAATGGTCATGATTCAGAACATAATAAAGAAAACAGAAGTTGGTTTGAAACAAGCAGAACAAATGTCAATGGTGATATATTTAGCTACTACAATTTTCATAATGCAAAGTAAGAAATAGTACATTTTCTTTTGTGTTTAAGTGATGAGTATTATTAGTTATTTGTTTCTACATATATTTATTCTGCAGAAGTTTTATTGTCACAAGCTTAATTTAAATTTGACAACTAATTTCTCTATTTAATCTATTGATTAAACCTGGTCACTAGTACTGATTTTATTAATGAGATACCATTTTCCAATTCATTGGCTTAAAGTTTTATTAGTATCATGATTTTTATCTTAAAATGTTATAGGGTTGAATGTGTCCTTTCAGACCAATGCTAATAGAAAGCAGTTATGGAAAAATGCTAACCCTTATATCATTAGCACAAATGTAAGTGTTTGTAAAAGTATTAAATTACTAAATGCTGAGGCAGCTTCAAGGAATAGCAAAACCAAACGGAGTTTTGGAGAGGGCCAAAGGTTTTCTCCAAAATGGGCAGATTTCTTTTCCAAACCAGCTCTTGTGGTTTTGAGTCGGGAACATGCACTGTGTCAGTGCATCTTACAGAAGGAAATACTGTATTGAAGTTCTTTAACTGTTGAAGACCAAGACCCTCCTTACACCCCCTCTACTAACATTACAGGCAGCATTGCTCCCAGAAGGTGAATATGATGCTGCCTCTGCATGTCCCACAGAACCTTTTGGCCAGATTGCCCTGTAGATGTAGTTTGTGAAAAGCCATTCTGAATGTACACAGCTACATGAGCAGGATTTTGTTCTTCTTGATTGTAAAATGCTGTAGATATGACTAGAGACTAATATGACTTTGAAAGGAAATCATGTTTTGCCACCTCATAAAGCAGTTTTAATTGCTGTTATTTATGAAGTTATTACAGTTAGATGTCAAGCATCAGACATAGTACAGACATTTGCCCAAACAATGTCTTCCTAATGAAGTCTCCACACACACACTTTGAAATTTTGCCCTCTCTGAGGAATCCATTTACAGTAAAACATATATAAATTGTATTTATTATGTCAGAGTAAATCCATTTATTTAGCTCTACAGCTGTTTTTTTCCTGAACTTGAAGAAAGGTAAAACTTACTTCAGCTCAGTGTGGAAAGCGATCTCAATATTTCTTTATTCTGGTAAGAAAAATTGTGTTATAATTACTCTGTAAAAAATGCAGCAAGAGTTCTGCCTTA